TTTCCACACCCACTGACTACAGCGCAGCACAAGCTCCCAATCCAACACACCCTGAAAGTTAACTCTCCCATGGGTTAGAACACCTCTTTACATCAAAGGAGCTGTGCACTGCCATCTCTTCCTTAAAACCCGGCAAAGCAAGTGGACCTGACAACATCTCTCCTGAACACCTATTGTACGCTGGTCGCAATACATCCTTGTCTTGATGAATTTGATGGTTCATTTGAAGCATATTCCTCCTAGCCTTAAGGATGGTCTTGTGATCCCTCTTCACAAAGGCGGGGACAAGGATCCATCTGTCCCAGGTAACTATAGAAGCATCACACTCACCCCTGTCCTGAGCAAGCTGCTGGAGCTGCTGATCAAACCTAAACTCACCCAGCACCTACAAGAGCACCAAATACCAGACCCACTCCAATTTGGTTTCCAGCAGGGAAGATCCTGTACTCTAACAGGAAAAGCCTTGGACCTTGTCATTGAAATCTACAAGCTCTCTAACCAACCGCTATACCTTGCCATGCTGGATGCTCAAAAAGCATTTGACAGGGTTTGGCAGGAAGGTCTCCTGGCAAAGATAGCAGCAACACACCCGTCCCCAGCTCTGCTGCATACCATTGCAGAATTCTACAACAGCTGCTCAAGTAAGGTGTTTTGGGACCATTCTGTAGGACCCTCTTTTCGTGTGCTGCAAGGAGTGAGGCAATGAGGTGTTTTATCTCCCACGCTCTACACACTCGACATTGATGACCTCATCAAGCTCCTGAGAGAATGCCATCTAGGTTGCACAATCAGGAACCTCTACGTAGGTGTCATAGCATTTGCTGATGATATTGCTCTCCTTAGTAACGACCCAACAGAGCTCCAACAAATGCTTGACATCATATTCCAGTACACCCAAGAATGGAGGTACAAGATCAGCCCCACTAAGAGTGCTGTCATCGTGCTGAACCAACATCATACAATCAGCGGACATTCCTGGCATATCGATGGCTAGACCGAATTTTCCGTCTCTTTCGTTCGTTAGCCTCTTATTGGGGTAGGGTCGGCCGGCTCTCTCTTTAGAGACGGAAACCGTCTATACACATTCCCTTGATAACGCCACGGCCATTTCAGGTCGTATTGTTATGCCCCCAAAATCCCCCAAAATGTCATTTTACCTCGTGTATATCCAATTGTAAATTAGGCCTAGGCTATAATACATCGGTTCCACTTACTAACTTGATTGAAATAATCCGTTTAATGGTCCCTTTTAACTCTTTATGCGCCACTTAAAAAACCCCCCTGTGCCACATTCTTTTAGGGTCACACATTTCGAGGGAATCTTTATTGACTCTGCTGAATCAAGAGGCTATAACTCTTCACTGGATGATCATGATGAAAAATATTGTGCAGCAAAGTTGTAGACCGGAAAACGTGCTTTTCGATGAACCGTCATTTGTTATATTTTGAATTATCATTTTTATAATAATCATAATTATATAATGTTTAATTTTTCTTATTTACGGCAGTTTTTTATCCCTCTAGAATTTCTTATTTAGCAATGATAAGACATCTTCAAATCGAATCTATTAGAAAGGTGGACTTCTTACCTTTCTTTACATACCTTGCTCAAGTATTCTAACAATTCAGAAGGTTAGTATTTAGGTTGTTGAAGAAAAGAAGTTCAATAGGGAGAGACTTGAAAGTACCCCGCTCAGCCACCCTTGACAATGGGCTAATCTGCCCATTGAAATCCCTATTACCCCAGGTTATTGTCAATGTCCGGTTTAGCGGGGCATGAAAAGGGACGTCGTGGGGATGTTTTTCTTTGTTGTGCCATGATAAGTCAATAAGAAATAAGAGAATGTTATTGATTTTGCCCACTGGTATGAGCATGTAAAAATGGTATAGGCATAATATATTATATGTGATATACATGACATAATCAGCATCTTATTGAAATGTCTCATTATGAATGTTCACCGCATCTGTTCTCTCACCTTCTTTACCCCTCAATAAAATTGATTTCAAGTACATTTATCACAGCCATAGATATACAAAGAAAGAATGAATCAATCTTAAAATATAAACTATATTGCATTGTTTTCCATTTACTTTATTGTGAGAGAGCTTATTATCAGAAATGATTGACGAGTGGAGTATGCAATGAATAAAATATGGAGAACGGACGTGAGAGACATTATGAGAGAGAAATAGTGATATGAAATGAAAGGACTTTACTGTGAATAAAGATTATAAGAGAAAGAGATAAAGATGACGGCAAGACAGGATACATATTGATACGAAAATAACAATAATAATGAGATAGAGATGACGGAAAGAAAGAGAGTAAACACTGATAGCATAAGAATGAATAAAGATAATAAGAGAAAGATATAGAGATGACGGCAAGACATAGGGTACATATAGATAGGAAAATGATAATAATAATAAGATAGAGATGACGGAAAGAAAGAGAGTAAACACTGATAGCATAAGAATGAATAAAGATAATAAGAGAAAGATATAGAGATGACGGCAAGACATAGGGTACATATAGATAGGAAAATGATAATAATAAAAAGATAGAGATGACGGAAAGAAAGAGAGTAAACACTGATAGCACAAGAATGAATAAAGATAATAAGAGAAATATATAGAGATGACGGCAAGACATAGGATACATATTGATAGGAAAATAATAATAATAATAAGATAGAGATGACGGCAAGAAAGAGAGTAAACACTGATAGCATAAGAATGAATAAAGATAATAAGAGAAAGATATACAGATGACGGCAAGACATAGGGTACATATAGATAGGAAAATGATAATAATAATAAGATAGAGATGACGGCAAGAAAGAGAGTAAACACTGATAGCATAAGAATGAATAAAGATAATAAGAGAAAGATATAGAGATGACGGCAAGACATAGGGTACATAATTATAGATAGGAAAATGATAATAATAATAAGATAGAGATGACGGAAAGAAAGAGAGTAAACACTGATAGCATAAGAATGAATAAAGATAATAAGAGAAAGATATAGAGATGACGGCAAGACATAGGGTACATATAGATAGGAAAATGATAATAATAATGAGATAGAGATGACGGCAAGAAAGAGAGTATTACACTCATAGCATAATAATGAATAAAGATAATAAGAAAAAGATATACAGATGACGGCAAGACATAGGGTACATATAGATAGGAAAATGATAATAATAATAAGATAGAGATGACGGAAAGAAAGAGAGTAAACACTGATAGCATAAGAATGAATAAAGATAATAAAAGAAAGATATAAAGATGACGGCAAGACAGGATACATCTTTCTTTCATTAGTTTTATTCATTCTTATTCTATCACTGTCTACTCTCTTTCTTGCTGTCATCTCTAGCTCTTTCATTAATTTTTATTCATTCTTATTCTATCAGTCTACTCTCTTTCTTGCTGTCATCTCTATCTCTTTCTTTCATTATTTTTATTCATTCTTATTCTATCACTGTCTACTCTCTTTCTTGCTGTCATCTCTATCTCCTTCTTTCATTTTTTTTATTCATTCTTATTCTATCAGTCTACTCTCTTTCTTGCTGTCATCTCTAGCTCTTTCATTAATTTTTATTCATTCTTATTCTATCAGTCTACTCTCAGGGAACACTTTTATCACTAGAGTCTTCGTCACTGCTCGATTCGTCGGAATCAGAGTCCATGCTCCATGCTTCCATAGTAACAAGATCTCGAGCCTCCTCTACACTAAACACACGTTGACGTTTTCCAGCAGGTGCCATCGTAACATCAGTAAAAAAAATCCAAAGAAAACCGCTAAATACACGGTAATTTCGAATGTAACACTATGAAGAAAAACAGTTTACCGGAAAGTGTGCGATGTATACAATGTAAACAATAGTAAACGCAACGCGTGGCTACACACTGCGAGCGGTATTATGAATGTCTAATTGACTCGTATACATCTGTGCAAAAATGCGAAGTTGGCACGCCTACGTCCGTGCAAATCGGCGAACAAAGCAAACAAAGAGTTAAGGAAATTATGGGTCAAAATCGACATCCATGTTGAAAATCTTGCAAGCCGTGTTAAACTCTCGCTGCCGGAGTCATCTAAATCAATCTCATCCCTTCTAGTCTACGCCGAAGGCAAAATGATTATGAAGGAAAAACTGTGATAACGCCATTACGAACGTGTAGATGGCGCACAGTGAAAAGACTTCTTTATCCCTGTGGACCAGAAGACCTAAACCTAAGGCCAAGGATCTGTATCTTGGGCATATCGCCAACCCAAGCTTGAGGTCAGCTATCACCATTCGAGCCCAGATCTCCTGCAAAGTCTACCTGACCCAAGTCAGGCTTGTCAGGATTGGGAAGGCAACTGATGACTGCTGCCGTCTGTGTCGGGCAGAGCGAGAGGATGTTGAGCACCTTGTTGCAACTTGCCCAGCCCTATCATCTGTGCATCGAGACCTTATTAATCGTATTAAGGATAACCAGAGCTACCAAGTGTCACGCATTAGGCGTAACGTCACGCATTTGGAGGGTCTGAAAACGGCTCTCACGCACGGCGCGCGCGCTAGATTTTAAAAAAAACGCCATACTTATACGTGTGTTATACCCTCGCACGCGCCGAAAAATGAAAATGTCACGCATTGCTGATCTTTTACCTTGGCGTCTCTGGATAACCTCAACACAAAGCAGTTTGCTCAATACTTCGAGTCTGCGCCTGCGCTGTTCTTGGAGTCAGTGCTCTTTCTCCCTGCTGGACACATCAGCAGTAGTGCCAAAACACAGCTGCATACACTTATCCTGGCTTTATTTTATACGCAACCTTCACACAACCCGTCAAAATCTACTTAACGACCTATAGAAAGCCATTTAGATCTATGTAACTTCGGCAGACTCACAGTGCCGACGATCTCCGACCTGAGCGGAGGAAGGATACAAGAGAGAGGTTACTTACAAAAAATGCAGCATATGGGACAACGTTATAGAATTGCTTACTTTGCCAGCATATCCAGAGAATTGGTATGTTTATCCAGTTTCCTGCACACAGCATTGGTCCTTTGTTTCGAAAATTCCTTGACTTGTTGGGAAAAGTCATCTCCTTCTCCAGAATCAGGGAAAGTATTCTTGATAAAGTTTTGAAAAGGTTTTTGAAAGTTTTGAAACTCCACTTCGGAGCTACTTTTTAGTGGTACTACAAGAAAATTCGCCATTTTCAGAACCTTTAACAAAAGATCTTTAAAGAGCACAAAAAAGCCCTCAGATTAGGCAGCAAGTAGCAGAAAACGCCCTTAATACTGGACTCAACATTCAATGGAATGACGCCCACATCATTGAGTTTGAAACGCACTTCTGGTCAAGAATGGTAGAAGAATCATCTGCATAAAAAGGATAGGGATTATGCTATACATTGTTACCTTCTTCGCTCCAGTGATCTCAAGGCAGCAGACAGCAAGAAATTGTGTAAATAATTAAAGGTCCAAAGGAGTGGTTGTTAGAAGCTTTAACTCACACTCTCTCCAATTTTTGACAACAAAAGATTGTCTTGGGAACCACATCAATCTATATTTACGGATGGGGTGCAGGGGGAGAGCCTTTGCCGGCAGTCTTGGGGCGCGCGGAGCCCCAGGAAGTTTTTGAATTTAAAAAACAAAAATGGAAATTCAAATTAGTCGTCACAAGCGATAGAAATTGTTAGTTCCTCCTTGAAAGTCACAAAGCCCCTTTCATTTCATTTTAGAAATAACCTCTCTTTCTCTCTTAAAGACAATTTTATAGAACTTCTGTTTTCGTATTGTTGTACTTTCGTCCGCAGACTTCTTAGGCACATGTCGAGCCAACTCATCGGAAATGTAATCTGTAAGTGTAAATTTAAGTTTCATGTTCTTCCTTTTTTTGTGTCTTTCTTTTTTTTCCCTCTCTCTCTCCCTCTCTCTGTCTCTCTATTTTCCCTCCATCCTCTATATTCTTCTCTTTTTAAATTATTCTCTCTTTCTCTTTCTCCGACCGCTGAATAAGCGCCGGGGGGGGGGGGGGGGGGGGGGGGGGGGGGAAGAGGACACTTTTTTTTGGGGGGGGGGTCTCGAAATTTGAAAAAATTGACATTTGTTGGGGGGGGAGTAAGGTCACCTTTTTTAGGTCAGCCATGGGAGTAATTTTTTTTAATTAAAAAAAAAAAAAAAAAAAAAAAAAATCCAAGGGGGGGGGGGGGGGGGGTTTTAGGTTTTTTTTAGGGGGTTTACACATATAAAATACCAAAGGGGGGGGGTTTAACCCCCCCCCCCCCCCCTGCGTACGCGCCTGATCATCTTGAATATATGGTTTTCAATACAATGGCTATGGTGATGAGATGTCTAGGTAAAATGTTGATGTGTTTGTTAAAATTTATTACCATGATGCACCTTCTTGGTTAAAAAAAAAGTATATTTGTTCATGCCTTTACATACCACAGTAGAAATCAATATTTTATATTTGATGCAGAATAACATTAATATTTAAAGATTATAAACACAAACAGGTTCCATAACCATTCAAGTGTTCCAAGAAAAAGTTAAGCAAACTTTGTGTCCTCGGTTTAAATTCACACTAGCACTAGCGAGCTCTCCGATCCAGTCTAGACTCTTCGCTTTGTGGATCGGGGGGGGGGGGGGCAAAAGGCCCTTGCCTCTCTCCGGCCCCCGCCTCCCCCGGCCCCCGCCCCCGCCAAAAAAAAAGAGAAAGAATGGAAAGAGGAGAGCTAAAAGGGAACAAAAAAAAGAAGAAAACAAAAGGGTGAAAAGAGGGGGAGATCCGAGTTGCGATTAATCCCGCCAACAACATGTCGATCGATCGGGGGGGGGGGGGCGAAAGGCCCTTGCCTCACCCCCTAGCAAACCTAAAAGAGAGAGAAGGAAGGGAAGGGTAAGGGAAGGGGGAGGGAAAGGTAAGGAAAGAAAGAGAGAAAGAAGATAGGTAGGGGAGTTTAGTTGCGATTTTTCCCGCCAACAAGATATAGATCGGGGGGGGGGGAGCAATGGCGTACTGATGGGGGAGGGAGTGGGCTTGGGGGGACAGATGCTCCCCAAATAAAATTCAAACGTGGTTTATTTCTAATTCGATACCGGTGATTTACAAATGTTGATGAAATGACATAATTTTCCGAGATCTTTCCTCAATCTTTAGTAATACATTTTTTATGCGTTTGTTGGGAAATGGCAAATTCCTGAATAAAGAAAGAAAGAATAGTGACCTGCCTTTGTCACAATTAAATTCAAACGTGGTTCATTTCTAATTCGATGCCGGTGATTTACAAATGTTGCTGAAATGACATAATTTTCCGAGATTTTTCCTCACTTTTTAGTAAATTATACTTTTTTTTATGCGTTTGTTGGAAAAATTCCTAAATTAACAGTCAGGCAAGAAATATGCTTATTTAGAGGCCTACATGGCAGGGCCCGCAGAACGACGGGCTCCGGGGCCTCGAGCTTCGCCCCCACTTTTTTGGAAAAAGTGTACTAGCTAAAGAGAAATAGAAAGAAAGAGAGAAAGAAAGAAAGAATAGTGACCTGCCAGTGTCACAAAACAGTAATGAGGTATCAAAATATGCTCATCTGACCGTGATTAAATGCCTAAATCCCCTGAGCTTCCGGTGGCTCTGTCCCCTAGATTCCACCTAGGGCCCTACGGCGGGCCCCTGGATGCTAATCTAACGACAATTTAATGCCTAAAAACCCCGAACTTCTTGGGGCTCCTCAACTGGACCCCACGCCAATTAGTGTCCTGCCAGTGTCACAAATAAGGTATAAAAAAAAAATTCCTCATCTGACCGTAATAAAACGCCTAAAACCCCTGAGCTTCCAGGGGGCTCTGCCCTTGGACCTAACCAATGGCCCCAAGTCAGGCCCCTGGATATTCATCTGACAGTAATTTATTGCCTAAAACCCCTGAGCTTTTGGGGATCCGCCCCCTGGACCCCACTCCAATTAAGGACCTGCCAGTGTCACAAACAGGGTATCAAAATATGTTCATCTGATCGTAATTCAATGCCAAAAACCCCTGAGCTTCCGGGGGCTCCGCCCCCTCGACCTAACCAGGGGGCCTAAGACGGGCCCCTGAATGCTCAATGACCGTTATAAAATGCCTCAAATCCCTGAGTTTCAGGGGGCTCAGCCCCCTGGACCCCACACCAATTAGTGACCTGCCAGTATCATGAATAAGGTATTAAAATATGCTCATCTGACCGTTATAAAATGCCCCCCCAAAAACCCTGAGCTTCTGGGGGCTCGGCCCTGGACCCTCACGCCAATTAGTGTCCTGCCAGTGTCACAAATAAGGTATCAAAATATGCTCATATGGGTAATTAAATGCCTAAAACCCCTGAACTTCCGGGGGATCCGCCCCCTCGACGCCACCAGGGGGCCTAAGGCGGGCCCCTGAATGCTCAATGACCGTTATATAATGTCTCAAATCCCTGAGTTTCAGGGGGCTCAGCCCTCAAGACCCCACGCCAATTTACACTACGATCTACCTGATCGTAAATACTTTAGCCTCCCCCCACCCACTTTGAAAAACGTTCAGCGGGGCCTGCATGTAAGAGTGGGGTGATGCAGATTTTTTGTCTGCCAGCCCCCCCCCCAATCTTTTTTGCTTATTACTCCACTGTATATATATATATATATATATATATATATATAAAAACCCTCTGAAAAATTTCTGCAGGGTGACTTACGTGGGGGGGGGGGGATGTGCCCCATATGCTGGGATCCCCCTAGCTTAAAAAACGATAGCAATATGTTGAATTGCACATCTAACATTAATCGAACCTAAAGAGATGTTCTAAGATAGTTGAATAATATATTTTTTTAAATTTTGAAAACAATGGACTAGCTATAAGAGAGCAATTAATGTCCCAATTAACTCGCTATAGCCACATTCTATTCTACTTTAAAGAGATCTGTAAGATTAAGTAGATAATTATTTTTGAAATGTTGAAATAATTGTCTTTTAATTGACCTGCTGGCACAGGAACAGATGTAATTGTGAAACCACTACTTCCCTTTTCTATTAATAATAATTATCAAATCCATAAATTAATCCCCTGTCATATATAAAGGAATTAAAAAAAATGAGCACATGACAAAAAATAATTGTTATCAAATCGGTATCAAATTTTATTTCTGAAATTTGTTTTTGTTAATTAATACAAATATCATTTTATCATATTTTATATCAAGCTTGATGTTCTAAAACAGGCAGCATCTGATGAAAAGAGTAGAATTGAGATAATATTTGAGAAGCCTCAAGTAGACTTTAAAAAATAGGTATTACATGTATAACCTCTCATCTTTAAATATACTTTTATGTTAAACCTACAAGCATATGTATTAATGCATCACCTAACATTTGGGATCCTTCAATGAATATTTGTATGGTTTAACAATTTCATGAATTAACATTTTCCCCCAGTGTAAACTTTAGAGAAATATGCATTAAAGATATTATGTTCCTTTTGCAGCCAACATCAAATTCTGTAGAACTTTGCAGGAATTATGAATATATATGTCATGTATGTCCTATCTGCGAATTTAAACGTTAGCAGTGTCCTAATATTCAATTATGCAAGGAAACCTGTTTACTTGCTAGACTTCACTGTCAGACACTATTGAGTGACTGACTGGCTTTTTTCTTCTTTGGTAATAACATACATAAAATGAGCTGTAAAGGGTACATGAGCATTTGTCTACATCAATAACCCACTTCTTGTAATGGCCCAAATTAAACTGACTGAATCTGTGCGAAGCATAAAACGTACAACCATTCGGTACAATTGTCTGAAAATCAGACTATTACTTACTGGCTCTATAGCTCTTAAGTCGATTTGACAACTAACAGTCGTCATTTTCCAACTTAAAAACATTTTCAAGCCCCCCCCCCTTTTTTTTAAGGGAAGTTCTAAATTAGTATTATCTTTGAAATGTTGTTGGAATTGAACCTTTTCATTTTTTGGCCTGCAAATGGGACATAGTACCTTTAAATGAATTAGAGAACTCTTGACATCACATCACGAATACTTTTAATTACTTTTACTTTATCAATTCATTACAATACACTCATAACAAAATTAATGAAAATCTAACATCAAAGGACAATGAAAATCTAACATTAAAGGACAAGTCCACTCGAAAAATAACTTACTTTCAATAAAAGCAGAAAAATCAGACAAACCAATCAAAAAAAGTTTGAGCAAAATCGGATAACTAATAAGAAAGTTATGAATTTTTGAAAAAGTATGTAAAACTATGGAACAATGAGAATCACGACACAAATTGCCAAGATGGCTATCAGTTTGTGACGTCATGTCCTCACAACTTATCAATTGCTTTATATAGTTTAATCCCATTAATTTCCCTTTTTATCCCCCAAAACTTGATTTCCCCATGCCTTTGCCCAGGTTATATGATTTGTATCATATTGCGTGCATGACATTTCCCAAAAACTTTTATGAATTTTGAAGAATTGATACTATTTTCCGAATATCGTATTTCATAATTATTGATTTTTATATAAATAGTTTATCAAAATTCAATTTTTCATGATTTAACTGGACAAAAATTACTTTTTATTTGTGCATCCACACAAAAACATATTACTAACAATCTAACTTGGATGCTGGTGTGAAGAAATAAGATTCTTAGGGTGAAAATAGGAAATTTATATTATCAATATAAAGAAAATAATTAGTGGATAGTGAGGACCATACGTCACAGACTCATGAGTGAGTTGCCAATTTGTGTAATGATTTTAAAAAAATTCATGTCATTAAAAATTCATAACTTTCTTATTAGTCATCCGATTTTGCTCAAACTTTTTTTGATTGTTTTTTCTGATTTTTCTGGTTCTATTGAAAGTAAGTTATTTTTGGAGTGGACTTGGGCTTTAACTTAAGCAATCCTTTCATCTGTTCATGTTTGTCAAGTCTATTCTTTTTTACCAGAGTCAAATAATTTCTATTCATTATCCATGTCCTATCTTTCAGAATAAGCAAATTGCACAATAAAAGGAATCACACACACAAAAATCAAATCTTCATTTCCATTTTAAGTGTATAATATTTACTTAACAAAGAAGCTCAACACTTCATGAGAGACGCATGCCTTTTATTTTGGCCTCAAAATGATTATAAAAGTGACCATAATTTATGCAGATACATGAATATGTACATTACACTTCTTTGAATTGAAGTAATTGCACTTTCTTCTTCTTTCTTTTCATAAACATAAACATTATATAAAATGTCATGTCACAGTTATTAAAAAATAATGCAAGTATACGGTACTAGTATTTCAGCATTGGTATATTCAACAGACTATTACAGGTATCATATTTTGTCTAGACAATAACAATGATTTACTCCTGAGCTAGTATTCAATTCAATACTTTAATAGCATAAGTAAGAAATTTACCAAGTAAATGGCTAAGTTAAGTAATCGACTTATCTCGTATTCAAATCGCATTTTAGACTTATACTTCCGCAAGACAAAATGTAAGTAAAATACTTACTGATAAGTATTGTGACGTCACACGGTCAATCAAAAGTAATGCGCAATTGATGTATCGTAATTAATGCGCGATGATATAATTGTGCGCATGTTATATTACTGCGTAAGAAAACCATATGCCTGCCAATCAAGGCCTCCAAATAATTGGCTTAAGTCTGGTATGGAGTTGGCTTAGATTTAGGGTAAAATACTTAGACAAAAGTGTGATTTGAATACCATAATTGGCTTAGTATATTATATAAGCCAAATACTAAGTAAAAAGCTTAAATTTTGTACTTCAGTATTGAATTGAATACAGGCCCAGGTCCCTAATCTCTTCCTGGAGGTAAAAAGGTTGGGACAATTTTCCCCCTTAGAGTGTACCACTCACCCACAAAATATTTTGTTCTGTATGTTAGGGGTACAATATGGCTATACTATACTCAAAATATGAGCTTCCAAATATTACTTCTAAAAATATACTGCAAGATCCTCTCCCATTTGCTCTGTACTAACAGAATTAAAAAAAAAAAAAATGCAATCATACATGCACCCTTGACTAATCATTGCAAACATGTTTTTACACAACATCTGTATGTTTCTCTCATTTTCCTGCTCATATAAAAACCAACAACTATTAAATGTCAGAGAGGACTTCCCCTGTACCTACCTCAAACAAAAAATGCAACCTTAAAGGCGAATTACTCAGGGCAGGGTGGGGGAAGCAGACTGGTGAAAGTTCCGAGCGAAATCAGAAGAAAATGCAAGAAAGTTCTGCAAATTGGCTGATTCGACAGTGTCACTGTGATGCCAGACAACTTTCCCATTTGTTCCAAAAAACAAAATTAATATTTTTTTCTCAAAAATGCATGACTAGATTTATTTAGAGGACTTATAATAATATGCTATTCACAATTATTATTTTGAGTAGTATCTCAAAGGAAAAGGCACTTAGCAGAGAAACAGAAATTATGGGTATTTTTGTACACGACAAACAAGAGAGTTGTCCATAAATATGTCACAATCCACTGACAAACAATCTGCCAATTTGAGATTCACATAGCTTTGGTGATCTCATATTCAAAACATTCATAAGTCTCTTATTATTGGTCCATTTGATTTCAAACTTTTGCCATTCTTTTTCCCTGCTTTCACACAAATGTACTTATTACAAAGCTTGGGTTGACGTTTAATCATGATGTAGGTGTACAGTGTTAATTGTCTTAGCAAGAAAAAGGAAAAGTTTACAGGAATCAGGGTTATAGTCCTACAACACATACATCAATTTATAAACATACTCAAAACAGGACAAAAGGTACTGAAGGATAAGTAAACATGTTATAAAAGGGTCAATATTTATAATTTGTAGGTTAATTGAACAATGTCCAGCAACATCAGATAACTGTATTATTCAATAATTTGTTCTCCCCTCTTTTCTCTTTAGCAACACATGATATGTGGCTTAATCATTCAACATATCTTGCAATATTACAGTACCAAGTGCTAATGGATGGACCTATGTGACCAACCGTAAAATCATTGATGCTTCTCAAATCATCTCCAATAAAATGGCGTAAAAGGCAGTGAAGAAGACAATTCCTATTATTGCACGAATATCATTACATGTATTGCCATCTCATCCCCTATTTGCACATTGTTGAAATGCTTCCACTATACCTTCAGCTGATTTTGATAATCCAGTATCAAGCAGATTCACGTACAATGCTACCACAACTCCCTTGGGAATATGAGAACTATAATTTGGTGATATACTTTCACTTTGCTTAATATCAGAAACGTCTCTCTTTTCGCTCTCTGTACTATTGTCAGTTCTATCACAGCAGACATGGGTTGGGGCTACCATCAGCATGCTAGAGAAGCCCATAGCTCCACCACTATGAGTGACAAAATGGCGGGTGGGTGCGCAGCATGCATGCTTCTGCTCTTTCTCTAAGACGCTCCAGCCCATGGCGTAGCAGTACTCGTTGCTGGGTCTTGATTTTGCTATGGGAACAGGCTCCCAGATCGTTTTAACTGTGTCCTTCTTTAAGAAACCAGGGAGGCAAGTTTGATCTGAAATGACAGAATTTATCGGAATGTTTTCTGTAAGTCTTAAATATAAGACTGAATCACAAATAAAGTATGAGAAATTTCAGTATTATGAATGCATAGGAATTTGTTTGTATAAGATCATTTTCATAAAATATTTAGGTTCATTTTCCTTTCACAAAAGAAAAAAATATACAGACTTATCAATGATAAAAATAAGAGAACATATTTATAGAATGTTAGCAACAAAACTTATTTTCTTCAGCAGTATCATTTATCAGAAATTTGAACCTTTAATATACACAACCCAAAGAATAAAAATGAAAATATGAACAGCATCACTTTTACACAATTTTTTCGTCACTGATATAGTAAAAACATAGCTATCATAATTAATTCCATGGCCATCATTTTTATAGGCATGAGTTAATTATATCAAATTTCAGGTTCGGAATGACTGCTACCAGATTATTATAACTGCAATCCTGGTTCTCGTCTGTCCATTATTCCATTAACTTATACTCTAATTAAAAAAGGGGCATTTTCTTCTGTGTGCCTCTGAGAAGCAGTAAAGCCATTCATTCTAGATGTATAAAAGCATTTCTGTAATTCTTTCCCACCTGTGTTGTTGGCTGGTTGTTGGTAGCTGTAGAGCATTATGTTGCCAAACTTAACCAGGTCTTCCACAGTAGAAAGATATCCCCCTCCAGCCCACTTGTAGGACAGATCAACATAGGGGCAGTTCTCCAGCTTGCCATTCTTGTTGTAGCGATAGCCTCTAAAATAAACAAATAACAATGCAAAGTCTCAATAATAATAATAATAATATTGATAATTTAGTAGTGCACGGAAGGAAGGACGGACGGCAACGTTACTATATCCCCTCCGACTTCGTCGGTGAGGGGATAAAAACAGAATGTGAAAAGTTAACATATAACTCATAACAACAAGTAGATCATATATTACTGAGGGAAGAAGTATATGTTTTGGGGGATCATTTGGAAGTGGCAAGACAGGTTAATTCTCTAATGGAAAGGGGAATATTGTCTATTAAAATGAACTGTACATGTAAATACATTTAAAGAATATCCAATATGAAAGGGTATAGGTCAATGTGAATTGCCCACTTTTACTGATGAAAGACCTGGGCAGCGTTTCTCGAAACCGTCATAACTACAAGTTCACCGACATCTCATTGAAACGCGTGTTAAACTTAATACACGCGTGTCAATGGGATGTCGGTGAACTTGTACTTATGACGGTTTCGTGAGACGCTGCCCAGAGGAACATTCAATAATAAATTGTATTCAACCACTAGTTAATGGCTTGAAATCTGCTCAGTTAATGTATAAACAATCATGAATACCCATGAATGATATACACATCATATTCCATATGTATTGTAATTTGTAGGTTTATTCACATTTTATTTTTGTTTAAGATGTAATTGTATATCAGTCTATTTTGTGTGTTATAGCGCTTAGAGACTTAGGTGATCAGCGCTTTTTAAGTAACGTTTTTATTATTGTTATTATCTTTTTTTGTTTCTCAGACTGTGTAAAGCAACTTAACAGTTATTTGACATTTGTAAATTTCAAGATGGATTCTTAAATTATCTTCTTGCATTGTCCCCCAAAACAAACTGAAAAAACAAAGCAAACTCCTGTGGACTAACTCGTGCACATTTTTTGTTGTTGTTACATCTTTTACTTTTTAGCACAACACTCACAATATCCAACTTACCTTGCCCTGTTATATACGATGGGTATGTGTTTGTCAGGAACGGTCTCAGTTAGACCCATTTCACGTAGCATTGTCCTCATGTAGGTCACAAAGTCTTTGCCAGACGCTCCTTCCACCACAGCACTAACCAATGTGAAGCCATGGGTGGTGTACACATACTTTGATCCTGTAATGTTAAAAAATGTTTCAATATGAGCAGTCGAGGAATTGGTTCTCCTACAAATAGCTTCACTGCACTATTCTGCTAAAGAAAATATGTGATAAATTGGAACTTCAATCCCTTTGTTCTTAATTACTAGACACTCAGTTAAAAAATCTAATCTCTTTGCTTTAAAAACAAAAATAAATGATTCCTATAATTACATTAACACAGTGAGTTACATGATAAAAACTATTGATGTCACTTACATGATCATTTAACGTACATCAAATGTGTTGCTTTTTTAGCATCCACTGAAGAAAGCATGGTTCATAACACTGGGAAATCAAGTTTCCCTGTCTGGCAAGCATATTGGCCAGTTTTAGATTATGTGTTAACATATAATAAAAAAAAGTATAAAATCTAGTACTCGACTTTCAATAAGTAATTGCATGCATGGATACTTCACAAATGCCTAGAAAAGATCTGTCCACAACGTAATTACTCAACATTATTATTGAGCTTTGCAGTATAGCTGAGTTTCCACGCGAGATGAACATTGACTTTGAACATTTGACTGATGTCATGGGTACATACATGCAAAGTGAAGATCCTTACCTGGTTTGTGCATGAGGGGGTCATCTTTAAACAAATCCAGAGCACTAGTTACAGTCTTGAATTCCTTCTTTGACTTAATTTCATCATCCTTGGCCTCTGATTTCACAGTAATGTTATCTTCATTCTTCTCCTTATCTTTTGTCATATTAGTGTCATTCACACATTGTCTCAACTTCACTCCCTTTTCAGTATGCTTGTTACTGTTGTCCTTTTGATTGTCCTCATCAGCCTCCTTCTCGTCTGTTTTCTTCTTCTTCTTCATGTACGACTTATCATAGTGACGGATACCTCCCATGTGAGACACAAGATGTCTTGTGGTCAGAGAAACCTGATAGAACAAGGTTGATACCATGACCATCTTGTTAAAAATGGTGGTTCTACTCATAATTTTGCTGTTAAATCATTATATCATTTATATTTGTCGCATGCACTGCCAAAAACTGATATCATTCCAAACAATTTTCTACTAAACCTACGATTGGTTAATCAGTTAAGTTAATACTACATGTATCTCTCTAGATACATTGTCGTGTGTCTGGAAAAGGATATCAGCAGTGGGAATATATACCTGATATGAAATATTTTGTAGGAACTACACTGCTGGCATCCTTATTCCATTTTCTGGCATTCAGAAAATATTAATATTCTTTCTACTGTAGGCCTACCTCAATTCTATTGGCCCAGGCTGCCATTGAATACAAAAAAAAAAAAAAGCCTGTGCATTGTATTTCCTCCTAAGCTGTTTAAAAGTTATGTTTAGTAACATGTAGCACAGTTTGTTCTACTGTCTTAACATCAAAAATATGCATTCCACATTGAGTAGTATTTGATTTAATAGAAAATGTGCAAGACCAATACCGGTACACTAAACATTATCAAATGTATTTCACAGAAACAGAAAATATGACGATAAAGAAAAACGAATGAAGTTCGTACCTTTTCTCCTTCCCATTCCTTTTCTGGAAATGACGGCACATATTCTTGGACCGGCTTGTCTAGATCCAGCTTTCCTTCTTCCATGAGTCTAGCAACTGCTGTCATTGCCAACGACTTACTGATACTTGCTATGCGGAATGCACTATTCGGCCTGCACGCAGTCCTGTTCTCTACATCAGCGTATCCAATACCTGCACAGGTGAAACAAATTATAATAATAATAAAGAATAATTATTTTGTTTTCCTAGGGATCTCTCGCCACCTTAAATAATTTGTTTTTAAAAAAAAACAATGAAGTTATATTAATGGATAACAAACAAAAAAAAATACATATACCATAATCAAGACAAGCATGTAAAGTTGTTATCGGTTGAATGTTATATGCAAGAAATGAATCAATATAGTGCATTTCAGATGACAGTTTGGTTATAGTGAATATAGAAAAGTTGCTTAATAACTGCAAAAGTACATTCAGAGTGCAAACATAGATTGAGCAATCTGAATTTATATTGCCTGTTTCATAATCTCTTGTCTTTTAATATGCTTATACTTTTAAAGAAAATGATCAAACGAAATAATGATACATATTTCATACCAGGAGTGTGATTTCCTAATCATATTCAAAAGAAAATGTAAGCCATGTTTTTCATGGAGAGACAGAACTCACAGCATAACAGTCAAACTTGCTTTAAACACGGTTTTGGATGCTGTGGTTTATAGTTCTTTGGTTTTTATACATACATGTACAGTAAAAAAAAAAGATAATTGAATCATTAGTGTTTCCAGTAGGTTATGTATGTTATATCTTATACTTAGAAAGCTTTTCAAATAAATGTTTTTATAGTGGATATAAGTTAGATCCCCTAATTATATCTTAAGGTGGGGGATATTGTCAGGAAAGAAATTTATTTGTTTCGCTCTCTGGTCTGGAGTGTTCTTTGTTAAGGTCAGGTGAAGATGTTAAGGTCAGATGTTTTCTTTTCAGGCCAAGATGTATTGTTCCCTATGAATAGGCCTGGGGGAAGTCATTAATTCAGTGTACATGTTTTATCTGTTGTTTAGCACACATTTAGGAAGCCTCTTTTCAATACAAGTATTTTCCTTTGTAAGTTCATTTCCTCTCCAAATATTTGTAGTCATGTTTTTAGAATTTACTTAGTAACCGTAGGGTATATTAAGAGGTGGATTTTCTGAAATCGAGGAGAACCACCTAAGCTATAATAGACTAAACGTCATGTTAGTCGGCAGTTAAAGTCAATATCTGAGGGTAATTCCACGTCGGGACGAGAGGCTAGCTCAACTGCCACCCGGTTCTCCATATCTTTCGTCGGGGGCTAGCTCTTGTCTGGGATCGGGACACACACCATCGTATCTCAGTCTGCGGAGGCCAAGAATCCGGAGCGACTACCGGGGCCAAGTGGAGCAAAGACACCGTCTGCGGAGGCCAGGGCCAAGTGGACGACACGAGCTGTGACCGGCGTCGATGTCAGACGGGAAACTACCCATCCAGAATTATTTTGTTAAAGATAAGTTTATTACATACTGTATTATTATTGAAGCCAAAACAAAGTCTGTGAAACAGGAGAAATGATTGGAAATTAAACATTACAATTTAACTTTAATTAACAAGCTCTATTTCCCTTTATTTTGTGTGTCCGTAGCAATAATAAAAAATAAAAAAAAGTCTCTCACGTGACACACTGTTCTTCCGGAGGGCCCTGCAAATAATTATTATTACCCAAGTGATTGTCAGGTACCATTTACAACTGGATGGAGAGTGGAAAATGTGGATTAATGTCTTGCCTAAGGATGCCAGTGCCAGACTAAGAGAATGGAACCCCCAACCCTTGGATTGAGAGTCAAGTGAATAAACCACTACACCCCATCATCTCCACATTAGATTCATTAAACAAGACCTTAATTAAATTAAAATTCTCTGAAATAAAAAGCGACACTTAGCAATCATTATCAGAAAATGTCTGCATGTTGGACTATATGTCGCATATGTATGATGCATTGGGATCTTTATGATGAATTCATATTAGGGATGGTTCATGAAAAAACCTTTGTGTACACAGACATCAGAAGTTTTTTCATTGAAATATATTGTTTTTGTCACAATGCTAGATGGCTTTATACCTCTGCTCAATATTATTAATATACATGTAACTACAAGTCACTCATGAGAATTCACAAGTTTGTTGTACTCTATAAAATAAGGATGCATCATAGTGACCTTTTTAATATCCTTATTGACCAAGTAGCTTAGAAAAGATATACATATTGTAGAGACATCAGCAACTTCTCTAGACAAATAATAAATCACTGACTTTGCAGCGGATATGTTTTTTCAAATATATCACATTAAGAAGCAATTACATTGCTGAGCTCAAGTCAATTCAAGTTTTATTTTTTTCTCTCTTTTTATATAAAATACATACCTTCACTCCATACCAGTTTGCCATCAACAGTGACTGCGGCTACAATTCCTGGTGCACCAACTTCATCCTTCATTCAAATGGATAAGGATTAGAAAAGAATACTATGATAAAATGATATTATCAAATTTTTGCTAAAACAACATAAATATACATGTACATGTACATTCATCTTCATTGGAGTCTCGTTAAATATGTTGTACATGTATGTAGGGGGGGGGGGGGGGGGTACTTCATCCTTGGCTGTTGAGTGCAAAGGTCTCATTTCTACATGTAACTACTAGTGTACTGGTCTTGTGATACAATCTCCAGGATCTCATTAGGATTAAAAGCCTTCTATTAATTTGTTCTTTCAAAGAGTGATAAATTTTGTAAAAGCAGGAAGTGGGTCGAGAAGCTGAATGGTTTCGTCTCTCGTTTGGCAGCACAAAGATTGAATCCAGGTGCACTTCTTTGTTCCACACTTCATTGTTTGAGAACATATTTTTATTTTCTGTTTATGGTAGAATCAAAGGCTCTTCTTCTTCTTTTTCTCCTCCCTCTCCTTCTTTTCTTTTCTGGTGACTTAAAGGCGGTTATGAGCCAGTACATGTACATGTAGGTCACAAATATCATCATCAATAATGTGCATATAATAACATTTCATAGAACAGGGATACCTTAGCTCTTTGCAGAAGATCCCTGGATCTCTTGATGGCTGTTTCAAACTTTCTGGAAGACTCTAAAGCACTGTCATCCTTTTCAACTTTTCCATCTCCTTCTTGGCATGATGCTACAAGGCCTTTAATTCCTGAAGGCTCTGTGACTACCTCGCCTCTCCTAGCTCTGTTTGAGGTGATGTAGCGGTAAGCTGTGAAGGTTCCACCTGCAATTAGCCCTAAGGAGAGGGCAAGTCGGTAACCCCTTACGGTGTTGCCAGATGTATACCTCGACCCTGAGGAGTGTTGCGAGAGCCATCTTGGCATCTGTAATGAGGAATACTTCTGGAGCTTTGCAGATGGTTTGCTTCCAGCCCAAAGGCAGGCTTCTCCATGGTGCGAAGGTGACAAGGAGGGTGTGGCTCGGGTTGATAAAGACAACATCATGGTTTCCAAATGGAGATTTCAAGACAGCAAATGGAACTGAAGAAAAGGAAATATATGTATATATAAATTGTTTTTTTAAAGAAATCCAACATCCACCTTAAATATAGACTCCAGATCTCACTATGAACATGACGACAAAGAAAGCGGACAAAATATACAGTTCCTCAGGTAGACAAAGGAACATCCCTTCACTGCTATTATGTAAAAAGGTGAATATGCATGTGACACCTGTTCTACACATTTTTACATAATAGCAGTGAAGGGATGTTCCTTTGTCTACCTGAGGAACTGTATATTTTGTCCGCTTTCTTTGTCAGTCATGTTCATAGTGTCTAGTGGGCAACTACATTTTAATGTACATGTACTGTAATGTATTGTAAAACTGGGGTGACTTAATGTTGAGACTAAAAATCAACTCCAGATAGAGAGATATCCTGTGGTCCAAGAAACATAGATCTAGCATTATTGGAAATGCACATTTATCTTTTGCTGTTTGAATTTTGAATAGATTTCAAGTTTGAGTTTGTGGTTTTTGGAAAGAGAGAGAGAGTGAGATAACCATGTAATGTATATTGTACATTAATTGGAAGAGAGAGAGAGAGAGAGGGGGGGGGGGGGGGGGGGGGGGAGAAGGTCAGACATACCAACCTTATGAGCTAGGTGATTATGATATTAATATCAATATCATTAATCTCAGAATCACATTTCATAAATCATCATCCTGTATTAAAGTGTAAAAGGCTATATCAGACAAAAAGCTAATCAGTGCAATGTCAATATGACAATTAAGTCACAGTTCACTCTCACAATTTTTTCACAAGTTTTAAGTTTAGGACTTTAGCATCACTAAATTGAATTGAAAGACTACAAGTACAACGAGTTTTTTTTTAAAGACCTCTGGCGCTGGCTCCAATGATATTGATATCAAAATCATCCACATATAGTTTTAAGTCGCAAACTGTCAATTGACCTATATCTTGAAAGACGACCAGGAGATCTACATGTACCTCAATCCTGTACATCGATGACGATGACAACGATTTAGACCATAGATAGGAGGTGCGATATAGCTCAGCTCAGTGGTCATGGTGGTACAGCAGTGCGTAACCGGGAGGATGCACTAGTGCCACGTACTACTACTACTAGCTAGCTTTGGGCTTTTTGGCATTTATTCCTCATTACCAAGACAGTCCTTCATAGAGGCAGAATTAAAGCCATCACCACCGTCCCCTGGTTGCTTAATTACATGCAAATATCTCCAAGCAAGCAATAGATCTAGTATTAGTAATGAAGTTATACTTACACACATCTAGAATTAGAAGAGAGAGCAAGACGCCCTCTCAAACGCCAACAAACTAAGGAACTAAAGTAAACCCAAGCAATCCGCGCCTAGCAAAAACAAGTGAAGATCCAGCTCAGCGTCTTGCTACATTCAATATTCATGATAAGAAGAGCAGTCTCAAGAACTTACTTTGTCTTCGATGAGCAAATAAGCTTGTTGAAATTGACCGGACTGCCCTAAGCTTGGCCCAGGCCCAGGCCTAGCCAGATATCCTTTTGTGATGGTGGTCCTCTCGATTTCCAGCTCTCTCGACCGCCGAGCTCGAGCTCCTCCTTCTTCTGCACGCACTTGCACAACAAGCTTTTTCTCTCTAGCTCGACTCCGAAACGCCGGGTCCGTATCGTATGACTCGACCAAATAAAACTTCACCTATGAAAAACTCGGTCCCCTATTCTTCTTCTTCTTCAAAATAATCTGCCTCCTTCACTGCTGAAGATTCTTGCAGATGTGTATTCACAAGATTTCACGATTAATTACTTCCAAACTATAGTGAGCACATTTTTTTTTTTTTTTGGTCCTCGAAAATTTAAGAATTTGCACCCCCCTGGATACGCCACTGCCCCCGCCCCCTAAGAAATCCTGGATCCGCGCCTGATCTACATTACCTTTGGACTGTGGAGATAAACGTGCAAACAAACAATGGAGAACTCGTTGACCATCTCTCTCTCTCTCTCTCAAAAGAAAGAGAGAGAGGATAATACTGATTCCTTAAACACTTTCCTTTTAATTCAATTGACCTTTCGTGCCAATAACGAACTATCCTTCAGCACCGATTTCCTAGGATCTAATATATGTTCTTCTTCATAGACTGATATGATCACTGATAATGTGGCCAATCCTAGATTGACTCGCATAATTCGTCAAAATTGCCTTTATTATTTTATATATCTGTCGTGAAATTTTCTCCAGGTTAGGAGGTTAATTATTGCATTATTTTCAACACTTCTCTTTTCTTTGCAGTTCTAAAGCAAGTCTAGCAGTGATTTTTCTCTCCGTGGCCCTATATAAAGAGTGGCGAAAGGTCTGATATTGATAGCATTTCCTCAAATCATTCGTAAATATGTAATCTCCTATCACAGTTGTAAATCTTGTAGTACAACGATTGTTTGCTTTCTAAATAGTTTATATCTCTTTTTAAATAATTCTCTTAATTATGCCAATGCAAGAATATGTAAACATTAATAAACTAACATCAGCTGCTTTTCATGTACGTGTATAAAACTTTTTAATGATATAAGTACATGATCATGGGGTAAATAAACTCTTATTGATATGATTTGATATATATTTTATTTGAATACTAATATTAAGACTGATCCCAGGTTTTTATGTTTTATTTCTCCCAGTTGGTTCTTGGCTTCCTTCTCGATCCAGTTAGCCTACCTTCTATCTTTCTTTCCATCATATATTTTAAGAGACTCTAATGTCTTTCGATATGACCGAATTTTCTTGCTTTTTTTCTTCAATAAGTATCATATCAGGATAGTTTGTTGAAATCTGTTTTGCAATTAGCACCATTCGATAGATGAGCTCAACCGGTATAATCATCTTCTTTTGTAAGAGACGCTGCTTTAAAGCCCCATTGCACTACTTATACCTAATTGCGCCCTCTATATAGCAAACAATGCCTATATCGGTGACCATTGGTCCCCATGGTTCCCTTTTATTATGTTAATTGAGAGCTGATTTGATGAGATAACCACCTGTCAGTGACCATGCAGGAAGGTCTAATCCCTCCTGGCCAAAGTGCAGAGGCGCTTTAATTTAGACGCTGTTGCCGTGATAGTTGCTGTTGTTATTCCTAATCCAAAGTTCCGGCTTTTTTGTTTCGCAGTGTATCATAAATACCCAGTTTGAGAAGAACAGATTAAAGCCTCGGTGTGTTAAATCCCATTTATTGATTGATAGATTGATAGGAGGTGAAATGAATGAACTTATCTTGTCATAAAGTTACCTTATACGGACAACGAACAGGATGGAGTCTGCCGTTTCAATCCAAGTATAGTTTTACTTTAGGCTATACTATCGTTCAGTGATATTTCATCATGTAGATATCTACAAGAACAATAAAACACCTGTATGTATATCGCGTGAATGACACCGTATTAAGGCGCTGTTTTGCTGCTGCCACACACACACTTCTGCTCCCTAAATGTCATTTGTTTTGGGCTACTTTCTCTTTGTTTTTCACTTCAAAATTTGGATCATGTTGAGTTTATGTTTCAGAGCATCTCCTGATCAAGGTTGGAGTGATTTTATTGTAATCTTCTTGGTGGATTTTTGATGTGTTTTTCTTGTACCTGGATGTGACTTTCCTACATGCAACTTGTGCTTCCATTATACACATTAGCCTTTTCACTTTGTTGGCTATTGGAATGCAAATGAGTGCTTTGTGCACCACCAACAGGATATGGTCAACAATAGATATGGATCGGTTCAGTGCCTACAGCCATTGAAATACAGCAGGTCCCAGCTGCTTGCACTAAGAAGTAAAGCTATCAAACAAATACCTTTTGATGCTTATTGTGCTTTGAAGGACAATGGCTTGCTACATGTAAGGGGCAGACGTGGAGGTGCCCACATGCATAAATCAAAGCATGTACATGCACATAATAATGTGGAAAGTAAATTGTCATCTGATAATCAAGTTACAACAACATACAGGAATGAACTTGATGTTAGGCACTGGAACGTCCACTCTGCACGCAACAAAACTTGCTATGTGGCTGACTATGCTATTGAACATAATGTAGATGTTTTATTCTTGACTGAAACCTGGCTACGTGAGGATGATAATGTTATAATAGGTGAACTTAAACCACCGGGTTACTCGTTCTTAAATGTCCCCGATCATCCGACGAGGATCATCATGGGGGGATAGGGATTCTTTCTAAGAGTGAACTCAATCTGCAACTTGTTCCTGGTATTCTTCCTGATACAGTAACCTTTGAACACGCGTTGATATCCAACACTACGAGAGACATTCACTTTGTCGTTATCTACAGACCCCCTCCTTCAGCTAAAAATGGCTTACGTACTTCCTCATTCTTATCAGAGTTCGACAATTTTATTGATGCTGCAAGTCTGCTGCCAGGTATGCTTGTTCTGATGGGTGATATGAATATTCATTTTGATATTCCAGGGAAATCAGACGTGGCTCATGTTCTATCTTCACTCTCTGCAAATGGTCTTGTACAGAACATTTCGGAGCCAACGCACAGGTTGGGACATACACTTGACCCTATCATCACTCGTGTTGATGGTGATAGTTTGATGAACTACAAAGTTCACGTCAATCATATCTCTGATCACCACGTGGTATGTGCTTCTCTAAGAGTGTATCATCCTGAGTTGATATCAACAAAAATATCATACAGGAACTTCAAAGACATGGATCACTCCAATTTTGCCTCTGAGCTCGCGGCTAAACTTGATGCTCCTAAGGCTGATAATGGGACTGCTGATGAATGTCGTATCAATAAGATCGTATCGGAATTCGACTCTGCCGTCCAGGAGACTCTTGACTCTACCGCTCCCATGAAGACAGTCACCATCAAGGCTCGTCGCAGGCCCAGGTGGTATAACTCGACAATAGGGGATTCACGCCGTGAACGCCGCCGATGTGAAAGGCGGTGGGGGAAACACAAGACTGATGTAAATTTGAGTGCTTTCCAAGCTGCAAAACTTCATGTCAAAAAGTGCATCACCATGGCCAAGTGTGAATACTTTACCTGTGCTCTTGAGGAGTGTACTCCAAAGACTGCCTTCCAAGTACTGAATAGGTTACTGAACGCAATGAAAAGGTTCTTCCTGTACATGACTTGCCAGCTGAATTAGCAGACAGATTCGCCAACTTCTTCACTGATAAAGTCCTGAAGATTCGGAATGAACTTGATGGCAATGATCCCGATCCATTGTTCACATCCTGCTGTAATCAGGGGATAGGTCTTCAGTTCCGAGAGTTCGCCGAAGTATCTGAGAGTGAAGTGGAGAATATCATCAAACGTTCATCATCAAAGAGTTGCTCCCTTGACCCTCTACCAACATGGCTGTTGAAGAAACATCTCAGAGTTGTACTACCTGAACTTGTTCACCTTACGAACCAGGTTCTGTCTAGTGGTGTCTTTCCTACAGATCTCAAAGAGGCACTAGTGTTACCAGTCATCAAGAAAGCGTCAATGGATAGAAATGATCTACGGAGCTATCGCCCTGTATCAAATATACCATTTCGGTCTAAGATTATCGAGCGAATAATGCTTAGACAACTTACTGAGCACATCCAGGATAATGGACTTGCTGAGCCCATGCAATCGGCATACAAAGAACACCATAGCACTGAAACAGCACTACTTAAGATTCAGACGGATTTACTTCAAGCCATTGACAGTCAGAAAGGAGTAATGATGGTGCTGCTTGACTTGTCTGCTGCGTTTGACACAGTGGACCATAACATTCTGCTGAATCGTCTTGAAGACCATTTTGGTATTACAGGTCTCGCTCTCAAGCTTATCCATTCATACCTTGAAGACCGCAACAGCCATGTTCTAATCTCTGGTCAGCTTTCGAAAGCTTGTAGATTGCCACATGGAATTCCACAAGGTTCTGTCATCGGACCCTTGTTTTTCACCCTTTACATTCGTCCCATTGGTGATATTCTTCGGGCTCATGGAGTATTCTTTCATATGTATGCAGATGACATTCAGATCTACGTGATGTTTGACCCAACTGATCCAGTGGCAATTGATGCTGCGCTTGGCAGACTCAGTAGTTGTATCACTGAAATTCAGCGTTGGATGAATGCGAACAAGCTCAAACTCAACGATGGCAAGACAGAATTCTTTGTCTCTGCTTCACCGCATCATCGGTCATCCCATCTAATGAATGATGTCAAACTGATGATTGGTGAGAAATCCTTCCCACCATGTAAGTCCATCCGCAATCTGGGAGTAACACTTGAACCATCTGTGAACTTAAGTCTGCATGTTAACCTTCTCAGCAGAAGCATCAAGTACCACCTACGTAACCTGTGGAGGGTGAGGCGGTTTATTGATCAATCAACATGCCACGCTGCGGCGAGGGCTCTCGTCCTTTCCAGACTAGACTACTGCAACAGTCTCTTCAGTGTTCTCAGCCAGAGGGACCTTGATCGTCTTCAGAGACTCCAAAACTCAGCGGCAAGGCTTGTCTTTTCTGCTCCTCTTCGGACTCACATAACACCACTTCGACTTGAACTCCATTGGCTGCCTGTACGACAGAGAATAGCTTTCAAGATCCTACTACTGGTCTACAAGTCTCTCAACCACCGATGTCCCCCGTACATAGCTGACTGCTTGGTTCGTCGTACTCGAGTCCGAAATACCCGCTCATCATCATCCATCTGGCTCACTCAGTGTCTCTCTAAGAAACGTGCTGGTGAATTGTCTTTTCCATCGGTTGCTGCAAAACTGTGGAACCAACTACCTACTGCTGTGCAGACTGCCTCATCTGTTGACCAGTTCAAGAAACTACTCAAGTCACATCTTTTCTGCTAGAAATTACTTTATTACCAGCCTACATATACTTTGCTGAACTCTAAGAAGTGTCTAACTTTTGTTTTTAAGTGGCCCAAACATTGTCGAGCATGTGTGCAGCGCTTTGTAACTGCAAGGAAAAGGCGCTATATCAAATATCTTTTGGATTGGATTGGATGGAAAATGAAAGATGATTTGCATGAACCACTTCATTGCTCGCACAATCTAATCAGCAACGTATTGTAATAAAATCCACAATTTTTTATTTTTTTATCAAAACACATGTAATTACATCAGAAGACTAACAAACAATTTACAAACGAACGGGTGAAATGTAACGTCATATCATAATTGCAAAAGAATGACATGGGAAGGTTCTGCAGTATTATTTATAAAAAAAAGGTAAGATCACTGTAGATGTAAACCTGCTGCTTACTCTTTTATTACAAATGAACTACCGATTTTAACCGTATTTTTCATTGTATCATCTTGCATAATACTGAAAGATATGACACAGATCTATATCATAATCATTATTTTACCCCTTTTAACTATGATAGTGCGAATATATCTTTACATGATGATTACCAATTATGTATATTAAGCAGTGGGGGTGGTTAAAAAGAAAATAAGACCATAATAATATATCAGGGTGGTGATATATATATATTACCACCCTGATCGTTGGTGTAAAGGATAAAACAGAAAGAGAGAAGAGGCGATAAAGGAAAGAGACGGGAATGCAAAGTGAAAATAGGGGCAAAGCCAAAGGTACAGTCCCCTTGTGAAAAGAATCGGATCAAGACCGCCCCACCCTCTATGGCATCAGTCCCCTCTATAACTGCAGTGGACCACTGATCAATGGCCTATCCCTTCCGCCTAGCTCGCATGCCCTTAATTGAAATGAAATACAACGTTCTTTCTTGTACAGATAGTGGCTCTTAAAAGAGCCGTTTTCCTCCATCGGAAGATTAATAGTTGGAGAATCAATCTAGAATGACTCAGAAGTATTCTTGTGATGAGCTGACATCGCTTGACTGTTAGACTGAACACCTCCTTGAGGAGAGGATGAAGGCTTGACGATGGGAGCACTGCTCATCCCCGTCATCGGTGGGCTGGGTGGCTTCACTCCTTCGTTTCTTCGAGGCAGCAAAATGCGACGAGCCATATCGATTGGCAATGTTTATTGATAGAGTGCAGAGAGATCAACTTCGGACGATGCTAAAGAGTTGAATTTAATCTGTCGGGGTATGTTCGGCTATTTAAGGGCTGCTCGGTCACAGTATAGTGCCTATAGCTTTGTTGATTGGTTAATTGACTTGGTCTAGTGTTTTGCAAACTGTTGACTGTGAAGCCATTAACTTAGGGGAACGAAGTTATGTTCAGCGAACTATGAAGCAAAGTTCCTTTGATTCGTCAACTGATCCTTTGTGTGATGATGCAAAACTGTTACGGAGCTGCATAATAGCGTTCCCGGATCTGGCAACTTTCTTTCAAACGAACACGAAATTTGGAACAACGTCAATGTTTTCTAATGAACATTGATGTCTGATGATGAATTGGCTTCTTATAATCTCTAAGCTAAAAACGTAAGTCAATTGGTTAAAAGATGGGTATTTTCTTTTTATCCAACACTGGGTAAATCATGCAAATTCTTTATTACTCAATAGCATTTTTTTAGCCCAACATTTTTCAGAGTGTGATCGCTTCGAAAAACGTGGAACAATATTACACTTTCCATTAGATGATTAACCAGTCTTGCCAATTTCAAAACATCACATAAATCAGCTAGCCACTATCAAGGGACCATTATTAGAATTATTTGTTTACACATCATTCGTTAGACAAATACAATTTTACATAAAATATGTTTTAAGGGTATAATTCGGTTTTAATCTAAGTTATGACACGTTATCGGGTATCGGTTTTCAATTTTAGAGAAGAGATTAGTAACTGTTGAATTAACGTCGAGTTGAAATATCTACGGCATATTTGATAGAGCAAATCTCCTACCTTTTCTATATACAAGATCTGACATTCTCAACTCGATAAAAACATGCCATAAATATAGTGACGTATCATAGGGGGCAGAGGGGGAACATGCCCCGAGTGGCACTGGTGAGGGGGGGGGGACGCTTAAAAAAGGGCGGGGTTATAATAAAAAAGGTAAACTGATCGAGCGAAAGAAAAAGGGGAGAGAATTTCGCATTTGCGCCCCCAATACCTGGCAAAGGGTGAGTCATGTTAGAAATAGTGTTTTTGAGTGTTCGATCCACTCCAAAATTGTCTAAAGTTCGATGGTTGCTCGACCGGACGTACTCCTTGGACTCAATTTTGCCTACTGAATAGGCCTACTGAATAACCTGGCAATGCCGGGTAGTTTCTTTTCTTTTTTAAATATCATACCGTCTGTCTCTCCATTCCTCCCCATATGGAAACGTTTGCTTGGATTTGTCTTACAAAGAAGTTAACCAGAGAATTACGGTCGAAGTGCAATTGACATTCGCTATTTTGTTCCGATATTCCCTGTACACAAAAAGAGACGCTATACATTGTTTTTTTCGACATAATTATAGGCAGAGAAAGTGCCATATTTGTTTGTATTTATAATTTTCTGAAACGGGTTACCCAAGTGACTCCCGGGCGCCCCAATGCTGGAAAGAAACGCACTTTTGAGAAAACAAGTTAAAAAAAAAATGCTTATTTGTTCTATGCACGGAAGTCAGACCCCCCCCCCCCCCCCCCACTCAGAAGTCGGAATGACCGCATGCGTGTTGCCAAAATGTCCGGTAAAGGAGTACTTTTCGTGCGACAAAGTCCGGCCCGAGAATAATTGTAAAAAAAAGGGGTGTATTTGAATTTTCACCCGGAGATTTCTTTAAAAAGGGGGTGTCTTTTCTTTTTTTCTCTCATCTCTTCTGTCTTTGGACTCCTGAGAAATTATTCCGAATTTAGGGGGGTACATTGAGCAATTTTCCTGATTTAGGGGGGTCTCCAAGGCAGGAAAAGCCCGCGAAATGCCCGCGAAAGGGGGTTTCGAAATATTGGCAGTCCTCAGATAGGGGGTGCTTACAAAAAGAGGGAACGAGCATATGCGTACCCTAAATAACATTGAGTGGGGGGGGGGGGGGGCGGGGTCAGATTGCTTCTCCGCTCCTATCTGCAATCTATTGTCATAAAACTCTCCCTAACTGACTGTCTCTCTCTCTCTTTTTAATTTACCCTCTCTTCTCTTTAACTCCTTGCTCCATTATTGATGAAAAAAAATAGCCTACTACATCCCCTAGCCAAAATATGAGTTCTATTATTTTTATCAATAATTTAGCGAACTTTTTTTCTTCAAATAAGCCCGTAAATGTCTCACATCGTGACAAAATAATTTATCCCATTTCCAAAGATATTTTTGAGTCCTATTATGACTAAATTATTTTCACTAAATCATCATATGAGAAATTACGCCTAAATAATCAAGAGTCCTGGACAGGGTCGAGCTATCTAGGATATGTGGTCGGATCATGTATGGTCAAATTGTCTGTTAGACGCGTTGTCTGTGTACCCCATGATTGAGCAAGTTGCGTAATCCTCCTAAAAGATGTTAGAATCCAATGGACCAATCCCACACAATTTCTGCTGGCACCGGTGTATTTAGGGGCAGCTCAACCTAGTAAACCGAGGCCAGATTTGCCGTTCGAAGTCGAAACCTATAACTTAAGATTGAGTAGGTCGTTTCAAATTCTCATGTGGACACGCAGTGCAGCAACACAGTCAACAAAACAAACAAAGTCACACAATTTTGTCTAATCAAGGCAGCCATTGCATTGCCGCATTAGGACGTGTGGTGTGGTAACTGGTACCGGTACCGTACCGTCAATCCGTGCATGTTGCTGCTAAGAACATCTTACCGGTGCGTAACAACAATGGCCGAACATTTACCATACTTCACGCAAGGTCGTGTCATCAAAGGGTTTGGAAGAGGAAGCAAAGAACTGGGAATTCCTACAGGTAACTAGTATTGAACGTCATATATGTGTTCAACATTTCATCTTCTACTAGGCCTAGACTAATTTGACATTAAAATTTATAGAGAAGGTTGACTGAGTTCTCGGAAGAGGTGAAAAATAATTTGTGAGCGTTATCATTCTAATAATATGCAAGTGTGTAAGAACATCAGATAAGACATGTTCCCTGGAAAGCATAGCTCTTCAAATGCCTTCATATTCTGAATACGTCATGTACATCCTAAAACTCCGGGGGTAGGGTTTTTACGTCACGTGTTCGTGTAATCCCATTTCTGTGTATGAAGGGGTGACCAAAGTTCGCGGACATTTTAGAATATATTACAAAATGTGATATTCGAAGTTTCGAACTACAATTTCCCATATTCTACACAAATTTATTGATTTCAATTATAACCAAAGGGACGGCGAAGTTTTTAACTACAGATTAGTTCAACTAGAAAATGTTATCGTCGAAGGATTTCGGAGATATCGCGATCTAAAAATTCGATGTCCGATCGTTCGTGTGCGCTGCATCTAAAAAAGTCATAAAAACAACGAGACCTAACTTCACGCACGGGGGTTTACAGTTGATTTATCAAAAAGTGTGATCCATCAAAAATAAGGTAATATCATAATTTGCAAGGCAAGATATCATACAATCAGTTAGTACCACTGTTTACTTACAATTTTGAGGAAATCTACTCTCAAATTGAAGATTTTCAGACCCTTATCGGTAAATTGATCATTTTTCGGAATGGATGCAAAATATTGCAAAATTTGCCGATCTTTTGTCAATATTTTTACAATTTCGTACCCAATTCCAAAGAAAATTTCACTTCTGGGTAATTTTATGTTCCTCTTTCCATTGGTGATATCAGATTTTCGTAATATTACTGATTTTTTGAGATAGCGAACTTAGGTCTCGCGCGAACTTTGGTCACACCACCATACAGTGTTAACTTTACCAAGACTTGGCCAATTTCTTATCATTTTGATGATTTCAGAACCTTGCAATACACACAAATTCTTATATGCTAGATGATCAACCTTTTCTGGTCGATTCCACACCGTTTCTTTCACAATGCAATCGAATGACCAGAACTCAACTTCATCTTTAAACTTGAAGTTGAAACTTCAGTTTTCTTGAGACATTCGATTTGATTTTGAATTTTGATTTGGTTATAAATTTGTTAATTTGTAATTAATATATTCATACTAAAATCATAGTTTAATCATAATTTTTTATCTTCTCATTTTGTCAGTTTGGAGACAGAATTTGAGTTAACTCTTTGGTGCTTACTCATTAAACAGAGTTAATGTCGTTCTGGCTTCAAACGGATGATTTTTACATTAAAGTTTAACCTTCTTGAGACATTTAATTTTTGAATTTTTTCAAGCTCATCTTCTCTTTTCACATTTGTTTCATGTAATTTCACTCTTACTTAGTTTTGGCTTGGTCTGGGACTCTGCCTGTGCTGTGGGAGCAACTTGGAACTAGTCTAAGTCGTGGAAGTTAGATAAAAGATGTTGATATTAAATGCTCAAGAATCATGGGGACAATCCAACAATGTCTACAGACAGTTCTATTAAATGTATTTTTTTGTTTTGTTGTTGTTACTGTCTGCTTGTCAGAAAGCCTGTCTTTTTCTCTCAACAAAACACTTGTGGAAAACATGAATGAGAAACCTGAGTAGATTATTGTATATTGTATAATGTTATTGCTTATGTTTGTTTCTACTACCATCAGCTAACTTTCCAGAGGATGTTGTGGAGAATCTGCCTGCTGCTTTTAGCACTGGAGTTTACTATGGCTGGGCTTGCGTAGATGATGGGGAAGTACACAAGATGGTGATGAGTATTGGCTGGAATCCGTACTACAAAAATGAAAAGAAATCTATGGTGAGTGCTGAAGATAATGGTAATGTCAGCTCCCTGCAAGAAGGTCGTTACTGCTATTGACAATGCATACATTTGCATCATTTTGCTCTTTTGGCCTTCTTGCAGGCAGCCAATAAGCCTAGAAATTGAGAGTTTATATCTCAAAGGTTTTCACAAAAACCAAGAAATGTTAAAGGATTTAAATTCATACAGAAGGGAAGGATATTGCAATAACATTTTTATATACTTCTAAGAACATTGTTTACACCAAGATTTTTATATGTTATTTCATTTTCATTGTATAGATTGTGGACCCCAGTTTGTTTCTTACAGACTACCGGTATTTCATTAAATATTTTCTTATCAGTACATATAAGTATGATATAATTTTAGTTCTGAATAAGTTCGTGACCCTTTCTTTCAATTTACAATTCATTCCATGGCCATGTACATGTATCAAGGCATACTCGTTATATTTAAGCGATTATCATGTGCTGCCTGTGCTCCAATGATTTGATCATGGAAACAAAATCTTAGTCGTTTATTAATTATTTACTGGCTTTTTTTTTCTGGGGGGGGGGGGGGTGGGGGCTTTTTTTTTGCCGATACAATTTTTATGTATCATATGTACTGAAGCCTACAACATAATGACAGGTAGACTCATTAATTTATTTTCGAGAAGTGAAGTAATTGCAAATGTGCCTTCATGTAGAATCACTCAAAACATATTCTAGTCAATGCATTGGGAGTACCCAGTTCAATATGTGAGGTGGTCAAGATTTTTTATACATGTATCAGAAAGTGATTCATTACATTAAGTCTGTAATACTATGTATTAATGTCATAGATTATATACCGGTTCTCTTATTTTCTGTAGTCGGTACTTATCGCCAATCACAAAAAAGAGCAAATTCAATATATACAAATTTACAAAACGAATTATCCCTTACCATGTACATGTAACTTTGTTATGTAGCTGATAAGAAGCCATGATAAAAACTGGTATGTAAAGGTATTAGCATATTCCTGCTCTTGCATACACACATCCTGTACATGTGCCCTGCTCTCTTTCAAGATTTTTGCAGGTACATGTATCATGTACCGATATGTCCTTATGGATGCATTTGATTTTAAGATTGATATCTTTATCCATCCAAGTTGGAAGATCATATTTCTTTATCAATGATTGATAAGGACCAATCAGAGATATGATTGGACTAATGATAAGAATATGCCTTGCCTAATATTTTCCAGAATTCCAGGCCAAGCTTGATCTATTGTAGAAAATTGTAGGTACATGTAACTCATGAACATGCAATTATTGTATGATTTTATTTTGAATGAATATTATTTTTCATGTTTCAAATTTGTACTGATTCACTTTTTGTGAATTGTTCTTCAATGTTGTTGTTTTTTTTTTTTTGGGGGGGGGAGGGGGTAGTCAGAATTGGCTGTATATCCACTTAAAATGAACACAGAAACAAAGATCTACATTTAATGACAAAGTTTTTCAACATATCGGTAATGCTAAACAAAATTAGACAAGACTGCATTGCACAAGTCATTTATAATTGAATTGAGGAACCACATATTTCACAGAACATTTTCATGACTGATGGTGTACTGTACAGTGTCTACATGTACAATACATGTATGTTGTTATCTTTCCCATGGATATGACATGACATGTACATGCATATTGCATACTTTGGCTCCTGTCTCACCTTTAGGCCTCTCATATACAATTATACATGTACCAGTATTAGGCAATAAGCAAGTTTAGGCTTGAATGTAATTTAGATATTTACTCTATGCTTTCCCCTCCCCCTTGAAAAAAGGTCAATTTGGTTTTGAACATGTCATCTTACAAGTAATTTATATCTTGCATTTCTAGTCAGTAACTATGCTGTACAAGTATGTACAATTTTAACAAGCATAAGGCCCAAAAAACAAAAATAATGTGTTTCTCGTCCAGACTTTTAAAAAAAAGGATGAGGCAGGGCAATGAGAGCATTACTATTTTGCATTTTTTTGCTATTTTTTTCCAAGATGGTTGCCATGCTAATTATAGCTAGCCAAGTCTATTTGTTCACATATATTTTGGTATGTGAGTATTGGTAACTGATGCAATGTATGACAAAACAAATGATTTGTATCACTTAAAGGTACTATGTCCCATTTGCAGACCAAAAAAAAATGAAAAAGTTAAATTCCAACTACATTTGAAAGATAATACTAATTTAGAACTTCCCTAAAAAAGGTGGGCTTGAAAATGTCTTCAAGTGGGAAAATAACGACTATAAGTTGTCAAATCGACTTTAGGGCTATAGAGCCCAAAAGTAATAGTCTTAATTTTCAGATAATTGTACCGAATGGTCATACGTTTTATGCTGCGCAAAGATTCAATCAGTTTAATCTTGGCCATCACAAGAAGTGGGTTATTGATGTAGACAAATGCTCATGTACCCTTTACAACTCTTTTCATGTATGTTATTACCAAAGAAGAAAAAAGCCAGTCAGTCACTCAATAGTGTCTGACAGTGAAGTCTAGCAAGTAAACGGGTTTCCTTGCATAATTTGAATATGAGGACACTGCTAAAGTTTAAATTTCACAGATAGGACATACATGACATATTCATAATTCCTGCAAAGTTCTACAGTATTTGAGGTTGGCTGCAAAAGGGACATAGTACCTTTAAGAAGCTATTTAAACAAAATGTATATCACTGTTTTTTGGGGTGTTTTTCTTCTTCTGAGTAGTAAATAGTAAAAAGAATAGAAACACTTCATTTTTGTTATTTTTACCTAATGTGAAAACACTTGGGACTACCCTCTCCTACATGTCATAATCATGGAAAACTTAATTTTGTTTGATAACTTTTGAATTGCTACATATTGCACTAAATGTACTGTACAACCTGTACATGTATATCCTGTTTTTAGCAAAGTTTGGGCTTTATTATATCATTTGGACCTTTTTTACGTGTGAGAACTTTAATAATAGAACATGTGAATGTCATCCAGTATGAGCAATTTGATACTAATTTTCCTCCCATATTTGTTTCATGTTGGTGATGATTATACCACAATAATGAGACCTCCCTGTCTTTAAACGATCAGCGTACATGTACATATAGATAGATCTGCTTCAATATGTGAAAATGCTACCGGTAATCTTTTAACCAGTCTTTACTCAATGCCAAGGCTTTTTCTTTCTTCCTGAGTTCTTTACTGACAATACTTCTCACTGGGTCAGGGCTGTAGGGAAGTGCCAACGAGGTGATCAAAATGTCAAGGGGGGTATCATTTCCAGACACCAATGTATTTGTTTGCTTTCTTTATTTCTTTTGACAGGAAACACATGTGATGCACATCTTTAAAGACGACTTTTACGACTCCATCCTGAAGGTTTGCATCCTGGGTTTTAGGAGACCTGAAAAGAATTATCCATCACTAGGTGAGTAGGTGACTACAGTCCTCAATATCAGGGTTACTTTTTGGAGTTTAATTTCAACTTTGAATGTGGTCAAGGTTTCAGTGTGCCAGACCATGGAAATCATTAGCTGATGTGGCCAATACTTACAATTTCAGCTTTTACAGCCTCAATTAGCCTATTTGCTACTTTTGAGTGAATTTTTTAATGGATGTGGTTTATCTAATTTGATTTTGACAAAATTTGTTTTAATATACTTTTTTTTAAATCAAGTGGAAATTATTGGGATGTTTTTGTAATACGTACTAAGCAAGTTTGCTAAATATATTACTCATTGCAGATATAGTATCAAAAATAATGTCGTTAGTGACATTCGTTTGTGTCGCAATGTATGGTCAACAAGGGTTCTGAAAGATCACAACGTTTTGTGTGCCGATGCAACACTTTGTCAGATGATAAAATATAATTTAAGGAAGTGTGTTTTAATGTAAACAAGCTTGTTTACATTATACTTTATCACCTGACAAAGTGTTCAGCGGCGCACGAAACGTCATGATCTGTTAGATCCCTTGTTGACCATACTTTGCGAGACAAACGAATATCACTAGCGATATTATTTTTGATACTAACCAAGTTGTTTGCTATATTTCTCCTTTTGCATTGTATTTCTGTAGATTCCTTGATAGCAGCCATCAAAGAAGACATCGCAGATGCTGATATGAAGCTCTCACAGCCTGATGCACTCAAGTACATAGATGATAACTTCTTCAGGGATCTGTCCTCACAGTTATGACAGTAAACTTAAACATAGATATATTTTAGTACCATGTCAAGAGATTAATTTTTATAGTACACATTGATAATTCTACTGCTAATATTTGTGCAACATACCGGTACATGGTGTTACAAATTTACGTTTCATTTTTTAGTGTTTTATCTGATGAGGGCTGTTAATCTGGCCGAAGAATATCAATATTGTCTTACATGTTTAGAAGGTAAAATAGGTCTTTGTTGTGTATGGAAGTAGAAACAGATACATTATGAACATGACGGACAAAGAAAGAGGACAAAATAAACAGTTCCTCATTCTACCCTCAACAATTGCTATTATGTAAAAATGTGTAGAACAGGTGAATATGCATGTGACACCTGTTCTACACGTTTTTACATAAGAGCAGTGAAGGGATGTTCCTTTGTCTACCACAGCAATTGTTGAGGGTAGAATGAGGAACTGTATATTTTGTCCTCTTTCTTTGTCCATCATATTCATAAGTGATACATACAATGTATATTTGAAGGTACTAAAATTGAAGTGTAACAATGAAATATTGATTTTAAGACCCCTCTTTTCATTCTTGAAAGTTGATTGATGGAAGGGGATCAGGATAATTATAGAGTAAATGCAAAGCACAACAACAACAAAAGCATTGTGTATACAAATGACAATATAAGGGGCAGAACCATGTTTTCTAACTCATTTAGATCTTCTGGTCCAAATTTGATATGTTTACATCATCAAACTGTCTCATAGAAAGGTTAAAAAAATTCACTGTCACCAACATATATTTCACAACATGTACATTGTGAACAGTTGAGAAGAAACAGAAAAAAGTGCTGAATTTCTCTTTTTTAAAATTCTAATGTGCTTTGATTGATTGTACAGTAGTTTCTAGAAGAGACTTTTTCACAGTGTACATGTACATGTACTACATGTACATGGGAAGCCCGACTTGATCAAGAAATTCACCATGCGTACCACAAACTTGATTTTATATTAACAATATATCTCTGTCAATACACAGAGTTTGTGAACTACAAACTACAAACTGACTCCAAATTCACCTATTCTCGGCCATTCAAGCCAAGCCTGCTATTGTATTTTTTGGTTAAGACTAGGATATTATTCATACCTCAACATAACACATTTCATGCATATATGTACATTGATATGCTCTCTCTTTCTCTTTTATATTTTTCCTCAGTCAGTCAAAGCAAATCATTTATTGTACTTCATATTGCACAAATACATGTAGGCCAAACTAAATGCTCTCCAGGTAAAGTTTAAGTTGACTAATACATGTATGTTAATTGACCCGTGTAATCTGTCTGTCCTTGAATGTGCATACAGTTTACTAATTCTCCATTTACCATAGGCTTAACACAAGGACTAACCTGTTCCATATAGCATAGATGATGGGTTAAATGTTCCTGTTTGGTACATGAACATGAGATTGTGGGTGTAAGCATGTATAGTTGTTAATCATAGCATACATGACCCCATTGCCTACATGAACCACAGGGGTTCCTTTATTAAGCCTATGGGAAAGAGAGATTTCAGCATTCAACGGGTTGCCGGTACATGTTGGTGCTATTCCAATGTGTATTACATTCAGTGGAGCAAATTGAAAGAACCATAGTAAAAGTAGAATGCACTTGTATTTACATATAACTAGCAAATTATGTTCTCTGAAATAATAATGTATTCTATTTAGAATGAGCTTGTTCATGATTGTGTACTCTGCAAAACATACCAAGACAAATGTTGGATCAGTATATGGATTCATGACAGTTTTGTAATAATTGAATTTGTGCACCAATGGTATTTTCTAGTATATTCAGGTGGCAGTATTATTTTCAGAAGAGTACACATCTACCTGTGAAGCACCTTGATCAATGAGGAGGGGTTTAGCTTAAGGCAGGCACATGATATAGAGTCTGTCAATGTTTAAACAGATCTTGTGATATCTAGAGTTATTTGTGCCATGTGCTTGTAAACTTCTATCTCTTCTGTTTGAGAATTCTGCTTGGAACTCTGATACAGTTATACTCGTTAAATGTGTAACTTTGGCAAATGAAAATTGTTCTTTTTACCATATTGTAAACTCCCAGGGGTGGTGGGATGGGGGATGGGATGAAAGGAAGGGGGGGGGGGGGGGGAGATGGGCAGATGTAAACTCATGTTAACAGATAACGGACACATCACTGCCTATGATGTTATATTTACGGGGTACAGTGTGTTGCAGAATTGTGTGTTGTTAATTCTGGTACAATGCTGCAATGTATAGGTGATATTTTATTATTTTGTTTATTGGTTTTAAAGATATATTTTAATTTTTTAGTTTTATGATAAACTTAACTTGTGAGTGTGTATTTGTTAGTATAAAAAAAGATACTTATGAACTCAATAAACTTGACACACAAATACATTTATGCCTGTATATTAGTGCTGTCAAGGTACACAAGCCTATGCATATATATAAAGTTTCTGTGATGAGGCACTAAAAGTAATGTTTATTACTTGCCTTTTGTTACATATACCTACATTTCTCCACCTAGAAAGTAGACGCTCTAAAGTGTTCATTGGTGCAGTGACTGCAGTCAGCTATTGTTACCAAAATATTCAATGAAAATATGTATGATTTTATGTACCCAAGTACAAAAAGATGTTTGTGTATATTTTGTAATTCATTTGATGTTTCTAAGGTTATTAGATTTCCATGATATTTTACAAGTGGTTTTATAAAGAATTTTATATAGTCAAATGAGAGAGCTTTCAGTGTAAAGTGTTTAACTACATGTACACATAATTATAGACACACATCTACATGTATTTACCTGTCTTCTCATAATTTTCCTGTACCTGTACCTCAATATCAACATCTTAAAGAACTGTCTGGCAGAATAAGTAATTTCCTATTGATATTGTAAATTATTGTATACCATGATTCAGAAGTTTTGTTAAGAGACTTATTAAAAAGCAAGATATGCAAGGAGAAGTACTTTGTTAATTATCCCACAACATAGGAAGTTCAGGTCTTGATTTATAACAGGGGAGTTCATCATTGGATGTTCAAAGTTTTTTTCTTTATTTTGTTGTTGTTGTCTGCATCAGTCAATGAATCATACATTGTCATTGCAATATGGTGTCTAAAAAGTGCCTGTCGGTTTAGCCATGTTCTATTCACTTTTAATGTCTGTGTTGTTATAATAGGATGCCAATGCCTATAAATGCTTTTAGTCAGAAATAATTTTGCGACTTATGAATGCTGTGCATGAGCAGGATGTTTTGGCAGTCCAGCTTGGAAGCCTACATGTATACATGTATGTACATCAAGGCTCGCAGTGTACTGGAACCAAACTTAACCTCTTTTAGACTACCAGAATTCATTTTATTGCACAGAATAATATATGAAATTATAGCTATAGGAGAAGTTATAACCAGCATATGAAGAAACTTATAACAAAACGTTGTCGAGTGAGAGGCATGTTTGAGCACCGTTTGGAATGAAAACTCGGTCAGGGTCCCATTCTTGCCCGAACGCAATATAAAAAAATAAAATTGTGATTGGGTGGGACTGATGACTGGCCAGCTGTCATGTCAATTAAACTTTTCAATTTGTTTCTTTATGATGTTGTAATTATCAAGTCTTTACGCCCATTCATTGTATAATGATTCTTTTATGACTTTCCTTTATATAAGTTTGCTGTAATCTGAAAAGGCTATTACACTGTGTATGTCTTTGAAGAAACTGGTAATGTCTTAAACACATTGTAAGAACATAGTAATGGACTTTATGCATTCTTGTGATGATGGTGAAGCAGCCATTCTCTATCAAGGAGCAAATGAATACATTCCTTTAGTGCTTTCACACTTGTATGAATGTATACCCCTGGAGATGTACATGTAATGTGATAAGATCGCAAGAATGTACCGTAGGATAAATTTAATGTTATGTTGCATTGCCTTTAGAAACTTTGTTTGGATATTGCGAGGTCATTGTTAAGTTTGCACATTTCGGTATTCGGCTGTTACATGCATCTTGCCTATGAAAATGGTGTTTGGATATAATTATTGTAGGTCATAGTATTCAATTGTGGGCATATGTCAAGAGTAGATGCTTTTTGGTAATTTGTATATTGCAACTGATTATATTATGAAACTATTTGCCACTGTGCTCTAAAGCCTCATTATAAGAACTTACCTCAGAATGAAAAATGGTAGTAGGTGTGGTGTATGTTAGTTTTCGTGAAGCCAACACACAGCTGTGATGAAATGGCCAGTCTTGTTTATACATGTATATCTCATAACAAGGACCTCCTTAACCCTTTCCCTTTCATTTAGGCACTAAGCACAAACGTTTATTGTCCCAATTGTTATCTTCCTCTTACATTATCAGGATGATGGTTACAAATTTGATTGTCTCTATATAACTTGTAATGAGGAGGGTGTGGTTTAATAGGTCCAGCTCTAATACCTCACTCACTCCCCCACCGGTCTTGTGTAGGTCTTGTTGGTGTGACCAAGGTATAAGAACATACAATAAGAATTTGAGAAATTCAGCATGATATGTGTATGTGACATGAGCAGAATTTCCTTTTCATTAGACTGATAGCTCTTACAATGACAAAGATAAGCAAGTCTCTGGCTAAAACCTCAATTTGTAGGAACAACCTTATCGATCTGGCATTGTGTGGTGCTCAAAAGAAGACGGGATATTGTTAAATCTTGAAAGATGTGATGTATATTTCTGCTGCTGATTCAATGAGGTTATGAATGGAAATAGTAATGAAAATGGAATAAATTATCAAATTAAGATGAATTGTTTCATGGTCTGCTTATTTGCTCTGTGAATTAAGTGATTTTTTTCAAGGGGGGGGGGGGGGTATACATTTAATATACAATGTACATTGTGCAACTGCGAACAATTGCCACTTTGGATATCAAAATATAATTGTTGACAGCTGGTCATACCGGCAGTCTCTGTAAGGAGTCCTAAATAGGCAAATCAAAATTGCAGCGCAGATGATGTGTTTTACTTGTCTACTAAAAGAGGAAAGGTACACTTATATCTCAAAAAGGTGACATTGTATGACAAAAAAACAACTACGTACATTTTTACGTTGTAAATCTAAAAGCAAGCATGAACCTACAAAAAGAAAATTAAAATGAAAAGAATGAAGAATAAATCTGAAACGGTGCCAGGTGTTACTGCACTGTTCTCTAGTGTCTTTCTAACAATAACAAATTGATGATTTCCATAAGGGTATACTATCACAGTAATTGTTTGTGTTTGTGCAAAATTTTGTCCAAAAAGGTAGGTCACATCCGTTTCCCAACTTGTTGGGCAGACTCATCTCTTACTCTCCCTTAATCTCTCACCCTCTATTTGTCTATCTGCCCGTTTGCCTCTTTCTCTCTCTTTCTCTCACACCTTTATACCTCCCTCCCTCCCTCCTGCCTTCTCTCTCTCTCTCTCTCTCTCTACCTCTAACACCTTTATACCTCCCTCCCTCCCTCCTGCCTTCTCTCTCTCTCTCTCTCTCCTCTCACACCTTTATACCTCCCTCCCTCCCTCCTGCCTTCTCTCTCTCTCTCTCTCTCTTCCTCTAACACCTTTATACCTCCCTCCCTCCCTCCTGCCTTCTCTCTCTCTCTCTCTCTCTCTCTCTCTCTCTCTCTCTTCCTCTCACACCTTTATACCTCCCTCCCTCCCTCCTGCCTTCTCTCTCTCTCTCTCTCTTCCTCTAACACCTTTATACCTCCCTCCCTCCCTCCTGCCTTCTCTCTCTCTCTCTCTCTCTCTCTCTCTTCCTCTCACACCTTTATACCTCCCTCCCTCCCTCCTGCCTTCTCTCTCTCTCTCTCTCTCTCTCTCTCTTTCTCTCACACCTTTATACCTCCCTCCCTCCCTCCTGCCTTCTCTCTCTCTCTCTCTTTCTCTCACACCTTTCTACCTCCCTCCCTCCCTCCTGCCTTCTCTCTCTCTCTCTCTCTTCCTCTCGCACCTTTATACCTCCCTCCCTCCCTCCTCCTGCTCTTCTCTCTCTCTCTCTCTCTCTCTCTTCCTCTCACACCTTTATACCTCCCTCCCTCCCTCCCTCTCTCTCTCTCTCTCTCTTCCTCTCACACCTTTATACCTCCCTCCCTCCCTCCTGCCTTCTCTCTCTCTCTCTCTCTCTCTCTCTCTTCCTCTCACACCTTTATACCTCCCTCCCTCCCTCCTGCCTTCTCTCTCTCTCTCTTCCTCTCACACCTTTATACCTCCCTCCCTCCCTCCTGCCTTCTCTCTCTCTCTCTCTCTTCCTCTCACACCTTTATACCTCCCTCCCTCCTGCCTTCTCTCTCTCTCTCTCTCTCTTCCTCTCACACCTTTATACCTCCCTCCCTCCCTCCTGCCTTCTCTCTCTCTCTCTCTTTCTCTCACACCTTTATACCTCCCTCCCTCCTGCTTCTCTCTCTCTCTCTCTCCCTCTCTCTCTTCCTCTCACACCTTTATACCTCCCTCCCTCCCTCCTGCCTCTCTCTCTCTCTCTCTCTCTCTCTCTCTCTCTTTCTCTCACACCTTTATACCTCCCTCCCTCCCTCCTGCCTTCTCTCTCTCTCTCTCTTTCTCTCACACCTTTCTACCTCCCTCCCTCCCTCCTGCCTTCTCTCTCTCTCTCTCTCTTCCTCTCGCACCTTTATACCTCCCTCCCTCCTCCTGCCTTCTCTCTCTCTCTCTCTCTCTCTCTCTTCCTCTCACACCTTTATACCTCCCTCCCTCCCTGCCTTCTCTCTCTCTCTCTCTCTCTCTCTTCCTCTCACACCTTTATACCTCCCTCCCTCCCTCCTGCCTTCTCTCTCTCTCTCTCTCTTCCTCTCACACCTTTATACCTCCCTCCCTCCCTCCTGCCTTCTCTCTCTCTCTCTCTCTCTCTCTTCCTCTCACACCTTTATACCTCCCTCCCTCCCTCCTGCCTTCTCTCTCTCTCTCTCTCTTCCTCTCACACCTTTATACCTCCCTCCCTCCCTCCCTCCTGCCTTCTCTCTCTCTTCCTCTCACACCTTTATACCTCCCTCCCTCCCTCCTGCCTTCTCTCTCTCTCTTTCTCTCACACCTTTATACCTCCCTCCCTCCCTCCTGCCTTCTCTCTCTCTCTCTCTCTCTCTCTCTTTCTCTCACACCTTTATACCTCCCTCCCTCCCTCCTGCCTTCTCTCTCTCTCTCTTTCTCTCACACCGTTATACCTCCCTCCCTCCTGCCTTCCCTCTCTCTCTCTCTCTCTCTCTCTCTCTCTCTCTCTTCCTCTAACACCTTTATACCTCCCTCCCTCCCTCCTGCCTTCTCTCTCTCTCTCCCCCTCCCTCTGTCTCCCTCTCCATCACTATCTTCCTAGTTTATCTACACTTGGGAAAAACAACAAACGAAAATGGGGAATGCTTTATTGTTAATTTTTTTGGGGTAAAAGACGTCAAAAGAATATAATAAAATATACACTGTATAATGAAATTAAAGGAAAAATAATAGTCTGCCAACATCAATCAAAAATCGAGTTTGAAATAGGGTAAGTAACCATTCAAATGGCAATGAACATGTGCATCTGTATTAAAGACAGTCTTGTTCAACAATCAAAACAAAGAAGGAGAATAGTGGGGATAATTGAGCTCTGGATGCCAACTGTAACTGTATTGGTAGTTTTCTTGATAATTTATTTTTGTTCAAACTTATTAACTATCATGGTTCCTGTATGAAGATTATAAAAAGGAATGAGAGAATTCTATTTTCAAAAGTGCAGATTGTTAAATCCATTACTTGTCACTTTCCAGTACCAGAACTTTGAATCCTATGATTCATATCATTATGAACTTATACAGTGTGTAATACATCTACCCTGTCTCCAAAATAAGAATCTGACTAAATCACAAATGCATCAGATAAATACATATTAATTAATAATCTCAAAAATTGCAATGGCATAATTTAGGAATCAGAGGACAGTTTTTAAAATAAATTTTACACCAGTTGGCCACCCAATTGTGGGGGTACAACTATTCGGCCCTCTTTTGGGTTTGTAACTGCATACAATCTGGAAGAGTAGAAGGAGAGTTAATAGATGAACAATGTGTAGCAATTATACAGGCATAAGATTTGGATAAAAAATGGATCACAACCAACAGGTTTTCACCTTCACATCCGATCAGGGTGGTGTTCCAACCCATCTCATTTATAAACATACAAAGACTGGTCATAGTTTGCCAACTTTGCCAAGTGATGACTAAGTGACAAGCACAGATCCGTTGTTCATAATGCATACATAAGGGTCTGAACTGTATGACTTGTTAGACTATACTCTCTAGCCCTTATACTTAGCTGCTCCTGATACAGCTAGAGAATGACCAACTTAGCCAAGGCTTCAGGCTTCATGGAATAATAGAGTCTGAGTCTTTATACTAGGTAATGACACTCATCTCACTGATGAATCTCTATAAAACTTGAGGACAGAGAGGTGTTCTGGACCAGCTCTTCTTGCCAGGACCACAGTGGATTTAAAGCCCAGTGAGGATATCCAGGACATCAACTCCTCTGTGAGAAAAGCACATATTTGGAAATTAAAATCTTCATTGTGCCATCCAGTTTACAAGCATATTATTACAAATGACTTTTTTGAGACACATTTATAACAACACAGCTTTCTTTCATCATTGGCTTCTAGTATACTAACTCTACAATCTATAAACCTTCCCCGCTGAAACTAAAGTTAAGGAAATGAACAGAAATTTTTAATTTAAACATTTTTTTGATCGATGTGAAAAAATGAATAAATCAACTCAGAATACTACAAAATAACTATTCTCAATTCTTTCTTTATCTACTAGTTTAAGAACATGATGAATAAACCAAAACAAATCAATCTGATCTAATTTGGATATCTAGGAACTGACTTATATACAGTTGTGACTAATTCATATCAATCATAATTTATATTAAGATAGCGAGTTGACTGATTGGCGTACTTGCAACAAATCCGGATCAATCATAACTCTTTACAAATCAGGGCCCTAATCTAATTTGCAATAAATATTAACAGTGCAAACTTACTTGGCTTGTTCTCTCTGATGGCTATAAGATACATGACTCCCTGAGGTGAGAGTAGTTTAGGTATAAGAGGAAGCAGTCTATCTGTTACCTCACGTCCATCTGCCCCTCCAGCCCAGGAGGCTTCAATGCCATTGCTCTTGATCTACATAACAGCGCAAAATGTTTGAAATAAAATTCACATGGTTCCTTGTGCAGCACACATTTAGAGACTGATTGTACTCAAACCATCAATCAAAGAAGAGAGCACAATTTGCCTAAAAATAATTGCAAATTACACAAGCATTACTGAACTACACAATTACAGAATATTGTAACTAAATGTTATCTTTGTGTTTGGATGATATACATGTTATTGATTCATGATTCCTGAAACATCTATTTCATTACTGTAGTTATGTTGGAAAATCTAACAAAAACACCTTAATAATCCGTACAAACAATATTATACATTTTATATAGTGGAACTAACACAGTATGCACATCCATATGATGAAATGACACATGAACTCTCATAGGTGAAGTAGGTTCCATGTCTTTCTATGTCTTTCACTCAGGCTGCATCACCTTGATACAGGATTCTTTTGACACGTGTACTACTGATTTGATTAGTTTTTAACTGATCACATGAAGCTAAAAAATAAGATGCTCACTGTTTACTCAGCAAAGAAAATCTAATTTACTTCATTGTAAATCTTGTGCTACATCTAGGTTGAAGCCCTTAATTTCATATGAATTTCAAAGTATGAATAAGTCAAATCTTATAACTATCACTTTACAGACAGTGATGACAAATTGACATTAAGACTATTTAACAAGAAAGAAATAAAAAAGAAAGTAGGGAATAAAAGGAATACAAACCTCTTCTGATGGGGTCACAACATAAGGAGGATTGAATATAAGAATATCCACTGATCCTTGGAGCCTTCTTTCCAATGGGGTCAAGAGGTCACAGTTCATCACCTCAACATGACATGAATTTTGTTTTGCAGTCCTCTGAGTACAAAGTGCAGCATAGGGATTCCTGTCTGTTGCACTGTGTGGTGTGGGTTTAAAATGAAAAGAACAGAAGAACGTTATCAGATTTTCCAGTTGTCTTTTTAGATCTTAAATATGAAAGGGGCAGGGGCATAAGAACACAAGAAGGGGGCACATTTGTTTGTGTCTGTTTAAGGTACACCACATTGAATTTTAAAAGGGGGCACATGACGATTGTGAGTATATTATGCTGTTATCTATGTCCTCACAATGGGAAATGATACAAGCACAAATAATACAATACATTATAAGGATTATACTGTTATAAAATCAAAAGAACCATAGGTATGTCACTTACATGCATAACGCTGACTGGTTTAAAAGCTTTGAGAGAGCAGTTATCACAACCCCTGATCCACATCCAACTTCAACACAGACAGATGGCCTAAACAAGGACAAACTCTGATTAATACAGATCAAAAAGGCATCTAAAAACAAATAAATATCATTATTCAAGACAAATAACATTTATCAATATGTAAGTTGTGTATAATTTATAAATGTCTTCCCAAATTAAACTGCTTTGATAAGCTATATGAATGATAAAAACATGTTCTAAAAACTAATGTTTGCTAAAACTTAGCAGTCTTCTTATCATGCTCAACTTAAAAGGCCAGCATAAACACTCTTAAAAAGTTATACATTTGTGTAATCCATGTTGAAGTTCAGTTCAAACATGCGAGGCCTACAAGAGAAGGCTAGTATATATATATATATTTAAATGACATAGATTTTTAGCATGGTAATCATACTGACCTTTCCTCGCTATGTCAAACATACATTGCAAACTTAACATCAGTGACTCACTTCATATGTTGAATGAAAGATGCTTCTTCTTGGAGACTGTCTAAGAGAAGGAATGTGTCTTCAGCTGGCTCATAGACATGCTCAAAGTCAGCAGATGTGAGATGAGAGAAGTCTGGAGTCTTTACTTCATACTTGGAATCCATCTATCTCTTCTATCTGGTCCTACTGGTAATGTGATGTTTCCCCTAAAATACAAGCAGAAAGACATAAATGACAGAACATGTTCCTACTGAAATTTTGTCACAAAATAGTCAATTCTAATTGCCAATTAAAACCACACAACAACACCAACATTACATGATTACGAAATATACATGTACACCCTGTACATGGGATTAGCTGTTAAATGATACAAATTGCTGGGCTGGATGGTAAAATTCATGTGATTGCATAATCAAAATAAGGTCCAGTGACTCTCTCAAAATTAGACTCTGAACAAATGCTGCTTGATGAGCACTTTTTAACTTTTCGTTTATGTGGATCTATCTAGTTAGGTCCTGTGAGCCATCAATCTCTTGAAAGTAACATGAGAAATAAGAAAAAGCTTTTACAAGGCCTGTAACAATGAAAGTACTGATCTCATGAACCCTCAGGCTTTCAAAAGTTAAAAAAAAAAGATGGGCCCCCACTTCTGGCAATAAAAAAAAAGTTAAACAAAATATGGTAACCACAATTTTACCTTTTTTTTTGCTCAAGGGGGTTGGGGGCATCTTTTTTTGCTGGGGGGGGGGGGGGGGGGGGGGGGGGAGGGGTGGGGCCGGGCCCACATATTGCATATCCAAAGCAATTGATTTCTCTTTCTTACCATTTTTGTTCCTTTGTACTTCCCATTAATTGATCTATGTTCTAGTTCAAATTATCCAGCAACAGAATCTAGCACTAGCAGCCTTTATTGTAGACAGAAATAACCGTCTGATTTGGTCATTTCTTTTATAAAACTGACATTTGTTGACATTCCCAAATACAGACGGCAACCCAGGGATCTCGTACCGTGGGGGTGGCTAGAGCCACCGATGTACATCTTTTCGTTCAAAACATTTTCTCCCCGATTTTCTTTATTTAGATCTTATTTTCTGATTTCTAAATCAGATATAAATTAGGTCGGTATATATACCTCCTAATTACAGTTTTCAAAATTTGCTAACCTATTATAGAATGTGAAATTTACGGACTTACTTATTAATATGAGTTATCCAATTTTATCTCAGAACCGCGAAGCAGTAGGTTCATGCATTCAAACTATTACCCGGCGGCCGATATATTTCCGGTTCAACCTACCAAAACATAGCCAATGGCCAATCAGAGCACTCGTTTCGTGGGAGTTCGTTGGTCAAGCCGGGCTGACTCGTACGTAGCTACGGTAGCTATTGGACGTTCGAAAAGTAAAAATGAATATTCATCAACTAAAACCAAGACGGATAATGTTGATGACGAGACTTTCTCGGATTAATCATTAATTTAGGATCTAAATGAGCAAGCTATCGTAAGTCAAATAAGTTATATATATGTTATTTTTAATTTTTATCATAATTGCAGCAGTTATGAGGATGTAAAGAGTGAAAATCTCATTGCATATCTCATTCATCGCAGTCTGGTCGAACCGAACCATTTGTTCCGTACAGTCCCGATAGGGCATACTTCAGTCTCTATAATCGGAGGTCTAGTGGAGCCAGACGTAGTCTCAGTGGAACAACCGACGATTAGAGAGAATGAAGTTTTCGGTCTACCTTTATTGTCAAGCTTGAAACTGTTGTTTCCAATATAGACTCTTATTGAAGATATGTGTAATTGCGACAAAGTCAGAGCAGTAAAGACTAGACCTATGTGATTGCAATAGTATTGAATTTGCTCTCTTTTTCCTGGCATTTTCATTTTGAAATAGATGTAATTAGTTTTTGTTTTGTCTCATCAGATTCAGATCATCTTGGCATTTATTTGTTTTTGTCTTGTCCGATTTAAAACTCAAACGACAGTCAAAGACAAAATCGAAATCAGAAAATATTTCTGAGTTCTGTGACATAAATCATTGACACTGCAATTATTTAGTGATTCGTTAGTATTATTTTTTGTACTATAACAGTAAAGTAAGTAAGTAAATCATGACCTTCTGCGGAGTTCTGCCACACGTTCTCCACGTTCATCTTGAAGAGCGGGGTGCCCCAGGGCAGCGTACTCGGCCCAACACTGTTTGTTCTCTACATCAATGATCTCCCTGAGGTGTTGGACTCCACTGTAAGAATTTACGCAGATGACACCAAGGCTTTCTCATGCGTCTCTACTCCTGACCAACGCAAACTTCTCCAAGCTGACCTGTGCTCATTGACAGACTGGTCCTCAAAGTGGCAACTCCAGTTTAACGCAAGAAAATGCTGTGTTTTACATCTTGGATCTGGAGACTGTCAGGAGCGCTACACAATCGGGAGTTCAGCCCTGAGTACAGTTGAAGAGACAAAGGATCTGGGGGTACTTGTTGATGACAAACTGAAGTTCCACAGCCATGTGTCGTATGCCATCAACAAGGCCAACAGGGTCCTGATCAGCATCAGACGTGCCTTTCAGTGTCACGACACATCCACCATTCCCAAGCTGTTTAAAGGACTAGTGCGCCCCCTCCTTGAGTATGGAAATGTAATCTGGTCGCCAAGGTACATTTCAGACGCAAAAGCTGTGGAGAGAGTACAGAAGAGAGCAACAAAGATGATCTCCACAATGAAACACCTACCTTACATAGAGAGACTTAAATACCTAAACTTGCCATCCCTTGAGTACAGGAGAAGGAGAGGAGACATGATTCAGGTGTACAAGATCATTTATGAGCATGACAGACTCAACCCTGACCACTTCTTCCAACTAGCAGACACACCAACAAGAGGGCATAGTCTCAAGCTTTCAAAGCCGAGGTGTAGGACAAATGTAAGGAAGAACGCATTTAGTCACAGAGTGATTGACGACTGGAACTCTCTGCCTGAAGTAGTAGTTCAGGCTCCCACCATAGACGCCTTCAAAACCAGGCTTGATCGTTGCTGGAAGGAACAGTGTCATATCTCTCAATACTCGAACTGATTTTTCAATTTCTTTGCTCCTGGGACATTGTACATGGTACATTGTCCAGTCAAGATGCAACCTCTTGCCCCTCTGCCTCCCTTGCATATAATGAGAATTATTATTAAAGAGTATGAGTAAAAGAAGATAGACCAAGAAGATAGACCTGGAAGCTCGACTGCTGTCTCAGCATTCTTCCAGTATTTGCGGTAAAGGTAAAGTAAAGATACACGATTACAAACGCACACGTACACAAGTCACAGTCACGATACCTTACAAGAAAATAAATACGAGGGACTGGCTTTGTATTATACAAATTGGATCACAATCAAATAAAATATCTTTGATTCGGCAAAGCATGATACAACATTACTGATACTAATTATTGATTCCACTTTTCCTCTTTTGTTTAAGACACAAAAAGTGTTAAAAAACAAATGAACCTACCAAAAACAGACCCACTGCGCTGAATATCACACCTTCAGACGACTGGAAATCCATATGAGTGTGAATATGCAGAAAATATTTTTTCCACCATAGGTGGTACACGAGATGGCAATCCCTTGTATATTTTAGGTAACTTCAGAGAGGTAAAGGTACATGAGCCGATCCCTGAAGCACATTGCCATGTATTCTTTTAAATACCATGCCATGTATTCTTTAAAAAAAACAACTTCTAATTACGCGTCACTTTTTGCCTGCAAAAACAATAGACTAGGTCTAAGCGGAAAGGAATGAAGAATGCATTAAACAATTTGGCTGCACAAAATATAATTTTCTCTCTTGCATGTATTCTTTTGGACAGTGTATTGTACATACCTGGTATTGTACGTCTATGACATGAAAATTCGATATAATTTTACCGCTTATCCGATATTTATGACAGTGCTCTCTGATATTTGCCCAACATATGGTGTAATTTGAAATTGTGCAGGTAGTGTATGTACGACTGACCGTAGGAACATTCAATGAATGATTTGTCGGATAGACTCTCCGAATCTCATAATATTTTGAGCCGATGTGTTCACTTATTGTTTTTTTGAATTATTGAAACCACCTTGTAGATGCTATGACTTGGCATACGTTAACTTTCCTTTGATGTTCTACATATGACAGAAACCGAATGAAAGGACTCGCAACTCTGCACCTTGTCTGAGTGGCACATATCGGATGTGTACGTGGCAGTCCCGCCAGAGCTCTGGCTAGGGAAAGTGTACCATATGCTGTCTAACTGAACTTTATGCTACTACTACTACGCTAGTTCGCTGTCGAATTACCAGAACGTGAAAGACTGTGTTGTACGGTGGTGGCCAATTATTATCATTCTATTTTTTGTATGTTTACGTAGACAAGATTTCTGCATTTCAACTGCACTGTTAATTATTCATCATGGTTGAGTTCAAAGATCCAAATTCACCAATGGAAGAAGGGTTCGACAATCGTGTGTTCATCGTTCCAGCCATCATAATCATAGGTTTGATTGGTGAGTTTTAACTTAATAGTCTACGCCTGTTTGTATGTTATTGCCATAACTTATGCACTATTCTTTCTGTGAGGGTATTCAATTACACTAAGCCTAAGGAAAGGTTCTACAGATACACTCGTGCCCATGCTCATTAATCAATTAATATTATTTCTTACTCATTTTTGTTTTCAATCTTTTTGGAACCTACACTACAATCTACATACAGTGAAGTAGATCTTGATCATGTTGATGAAGACATATGACTGATACTAGAAATTAACTGGCTCTTGCTATGCATTTTGGAGGGATGAATTATTGTGGAATGGCCCTTGCTCTGGCTTGGGCTTGGGCTTGGCCTTGCCCCATTCACTATTGTAGTATAATTGTCTTATTCCAATTCTGTATTCCTAGCCTACATGTACATGTGGAACATTATTATTACTGGAGTTACAATGTTTGTGATTGTCATGTTATCTCATCCAGGCTTTGTCGTCTACAAGCTTGCAACAAGCATCCATGGCAGGGAGAAGGCACGGAGGGACAAGAAACAGAAGAAATTGGAATCTCGACGGAGATAACGTGAGACAAGAAAGCACCACTGCAACATCTTTCTGCTAACTTTAGTTCAAGAACCATTTTAAAACTTAATTTGAAAGGTATACATATCAATCAGTGTCGAGGCCTATTGGCCAACATGAAAGTGAAAGACTGAAATTAAGGTTTAGTCTATGACATACAGTGTACATTTTATTAATTTTACATAACAAATTACTAGCCATGATTCATTAAGTCAGTGCAATTTCTTGTTTGTTTTATGTAGAAATATTTACCGTAGTCTATATGATAAAAATGAAAAAAGAAAACAGAAAAATTATTCCATTTTCTTTTATATTTGTATGTAGTTTGACTTTGATTGAAGTTGTTGAATTTCCATTTTGATTTTAATTTTTCCTTGGATACGTACATGTAAACATGTATCGTGCCATAGTCTGCAAATTAAAGTCCTTCTAAGAAGATGTACAGAATGAAAAAGCTTCTGTTCTGAGTCTTCTGACCTTTTGAATGCTGTAAGATTTTGTCATCTTTCTTTGTAAGGAGTTCAGCAATATACTCTTTGATTTGAAAAGAAAATATATTTGTTTTTTAACCCCCTCCTCCCACCCCCCGGCCCCTTGGGCTGCCAAGTGAAAATGTGATATTAAAGCGGGGGGGGGGGGGGGGGGGGGGGGGGGGGGGGGGGGGGGGGGGGGGGGATTCTGGAGAGGAGGACTACTAATCTATTTTATTTTTTTCAGGGGCGGGGGAAGTTTTAGCATGACTTTCTTTTTAACTCTTACTTTCACCTATCTCAGATAACCCTAAGTTTTTGGTTGCTGCTTTATATGTAGTTGATAATGCATGATTAAAATAAAGAGAGAGAGAGAGAGAGAACCACCATCATTTTGCAATGGTTCAGGGTTCGTGTATACATTTGAAACCATTTCTTAGCGTCTCAACCCTAAAAAATAGCAAAATTATTTTTGAGGAAAAGCATTATACTGAATTAAATAAATAATAATAGCTTTATATTGGATCATACTAATACTGATACGGGCTAAAGACAATGTGGTATTTGTATAGAGGTATTCCAAAATGACATTCTGATAATCAACATTTGTTTCTGGTATCATATGTATATACGCATAATACAACTGATCTTTATGATTTCTTAATGTGACATAGCTTCTTCTCCCTCTGCAAACAAAACAGAAAACAAGGTTATTTAATAAAAGGACCATGCGACAAATAATCATTGTGATTCAAATTGATGCAAGGATTTTTTTGAATAAGCAATGCTTTTCACCAGAATCTTCTTTGTAAAAACGACTTTTACAAATCTCAGCCATGCAATTCTGCTACTGTGCTGTAAGATCACTTTGAGATTAGGAGAAGTGTATTATGAAATGGGTATTTTAAATTGAATGGAACGTCTCAACTCAGTAAGCATGGCTGAGATTTGTATAAGTTGTTTTTACAAAGAAGATTTGGGTGAATAGCAGTGCTTATTCAAACAAATATTCGCATCAATTTGAATCACAATCATTATTTGTCGCTTAATCCCTTTTAATGACCATGTTTTCTTTTTCGTTTGCAAGGGGAGAAGAAGATATGTCACGTTAAAGACATCATAAAGATCAGTGTTGTATGCGTATATATTATATACACAGGCCAGTAACAGCTATGTAGCTTGTAAATTTGTAAGAGGGAAAATGCTGATTGAAATGATAATGATGAAAAAGCAAATAATTGAGGAGTATCATAGGTACCAATTCAATGGATATTTGTATAAAAAAGAGCCCCTGTCAGTAATAAAAGAGCCCCCGTGAGAAGGCTCACGAGGGCTCTTTTTTCGGGGGAAGAGCCCCCGTGGACAAAAAATTAATTTGAGCCCTGGTCCTCACTGCAATAGGAGTCATTGATTATAATGTTATTTCATCTATGTTAGTTTTTTAGTATCCTTTTGCATGTTATTTTCTCAGGTTTCATACATGGAGGTTTTCATGACGATTGATCACCTAAAGACTTACTTTTAACTTTACTTTTGTATTTATCTTATCTTACCTTTTTTTCTGTTCAAATTTTCTATTCTCCCTTCTATGATGGTGTTAATCTCACTTGGAGCAACTGGATGCAGCTACATACCCTGCATTGGTGTATTTCAAGTTATTGTTTACACAAAAACAAAAATAAAATCTATAGAAAACTGAATAGATTTCAAAGTAATTAAACAGAATAAAATAAGTATTTTTTCCATTTAGCCCTTCAGTATAGTATCCAGATATTGATAAACAAAGAAAAGGATGGTGGTAGGGAGTGCAACTGGGCTACCTTGTGTATAGTGCAAGTTGTGTAGTGCAAGTTGGTGCAAGTTGTGAATTTTCCTGGTCCTTCAAACTACATACGAGGGTGGGGCATACATGTAGCTTCCAGAGCCTCCACCCTTACTGGATACTGCGATTGAAAGCTTTTACATGCTAGTCTTTTACAAACTTTAGTCTTTCAAAGCTTTTTGGTGATCAATAAAAGAAGAAAAAAAACCATTGACATAATACCTTGTTTGCTTAAAAACTGAATTGGTGTACCGGTATAAAGAATTTTAGTTGAGACTACAAAATATGACGATGTGCAGTAGAAGACCAAAGGAATTATGTTATACATGTATATATGGCTTGTGAAAAAAGTGTCCTCCAAATGAAATTCTTATGTGAACATTCAATGATCTTGTATTCTAATTGTTTAAATAGCAATCCAGCCCTGCAATGAGTTAATTTGTTTGAATGCAGAAAAAAAAAGATACACAAAATCAGTCAATATAAAAAAAAAAGGAAAAAAAAGCGATCACTAAATCTCTGCTAATCTCAAATTGGCAGTTAGGTCTGTGGATTGTGAAGTAGTTGCAGATAACTCTCTTGTTTGTCATGTAAAAAAAAATGACATTATTTTTTGTTTTTCTCCTATTAAAGTGCCTTCTCTTGTCCTCTAAAGTGCTCTAAAGAGAAAAGACCCTACTGAGTCGTACATTTTTCAAAAAATTAAAGTTGTTGTCATTTTGTGTGCTGAAAAAAAGAGAAAGTTGTCTACCACTACATCACAGAGACGTTACAGATTCAGCCAATTTAAGGAGCCCATACCTAAAGGATTACAATTTTATTTAAAGTCATAACTTTCTCTTTCTTTGTTGGTCTGATTTCATTCAAACTGTTGCAGTCTACTTTTCTGATTTTTCTGCTTTCCTCTAGAGTAGTTTGCTATCAAGGTTGGATTTCCCTTTAAATGTCAAGTAACTACTAGCCATACTCCGGGTGTTACATGTACGAGTATGAGAGAAGAATCTGGATTTGTTATGCCACATTCTTTCAATCAAATCATCATCAAACACACGACTCCCCTAATGTATCAAACCTACTGTATAGTTCATTAACTTGATACAATTTTCAGGAATTGGAGGTGAATGCATTGCCAAATGTTTTGAGACACAATTTTGAAATGGTAAAAATCATTTACCTTTCGGGAATTTTTTTCCAATAGGAATGTCAATTTCCACGCTTATACATCTATGTAACTTGAGTTTTCCTCATAATGCAACTGGAATTGAATTTCGTTCTATAGATGTGCTTCAGTTAAATGTTTAAAGCAGTTAAGGTGAAATTAACTACATGTAGTTTCATGCCACAAGCAACAACAACAAAATCTGTTTTTGAGAGTGACTAATGAAAATATGCCTGTATACAAGTGATGACTTTAAAAACAAAACAACAACATCAACAAAACTTGCACAAATGACAAAATTACCTTTGCTATGTGACCTACATGTTTTAAATTGCTTGCAACATACTGTATGTGTTGCCTGGTTAGGTTTAGGGTAAGGTTAGGGTTAGAGCTTGGGTTTGGGTGAAATGACAAAAACTTACAGTTTTTGCAGCTGGGGCGAGTTGTCTTTCGTCCTAGTTAGCCTGGATTCATGTTAATATACCTCTTATAATGCCAATTTAGATATTCTTGCCCAGTGCCACCTATGCTAATTACTAAGTATTTTATTATTGTCCACATGTACAGTTAATTCATCTGTATAAAGCCAGAAAGGCATTAACTCTTATACTGTAACACAGAGTTAATGCCCTTCTGGATCCGAAACAGAGGATGGGATGTATGATACACAAACTAACATGCATATAGTTCATGATTAGTTTTCACTCATGCCCTTAACCTAAACTTGTTGTTTGTCTTGTGCTTTAGTTGATGGTGGCCTATGGGGCTTAGAGTTGTAGAAGTGATTTCAGTGATACACTATTTTACATATGGTCATTGCATGGCTGTAAATGCCTTATTGCAGGCAATTGACATCTTAAAACTACAGTTAGTTGTTGAATTGAGTCTAGTTGAGTATTCCACGTTGTTGTCCATAGCAGTGAAAGTATGGAGCCATGATTTTTCTGACCATTCTTATTTTTTAGAGTATCATTTACATCTTACATTTTGAATCATAATGAAGGAATGTATGATACTTACATATCAATGATTTTTTGATTGTGGAACTGGATTTTATTCAGGTTACAGTACTAATTATGTTTGTCTCAAGGATAATAGGATTATATTTTATTTATCAATGACTTTCTTGGATTTCTCCTGTATGTGTAAATCACGTTTCTTGCATGTAAACTCATCCAGATTTTCTTTTATACCAGTATCCTCTAGGTACATATTTACATAATGTACCTAAAAATGAATGGGTAGACAAATTTTGCAAAAGATGTAGTGAAATAAACCAGGTTTGTTTGATTTTTTTCCATGAAGGCAATCAATTTCAAGATGTATGAACTATGAAGTGTTTGCCATATACAATATCTTGAGAGACAAAATATGTTGGTGTTCTTCAGAATTTACACAATCATGACATAGCAGGTATTCGGGGGATTTTCTTTCTTTTGTGGTTATAGGGGTATGATAATTGCTGATATAAGTGTTGATATAAACAAAAATCTAAACCCTAATGTCGACCCTGACCCCAACCCATATAAAGGTTGACCCTAACCTCAACCCATTAAAATAATCCTAACCCTAACACATTGGAAATTGAAAAATTCATTTTTCAATTGTACATGCATCCAAATTGTAGCCCTGATTTGTTTTTTATTATTGCAACATTCTTCTTGTGATACACTGTAGGTTATAGGATGTAAGTAGGGAAATCATTGAACTGAAGTATATTACATGATCATCTGGAACTAACCCTCATGACTGTGGCTCAAAATTGAAGTCCTTTTGATGCTATTTGTCATGATTCATACATGTTGCATTGGCTTCAGTTGATGGACGGAAGAGTATAGTACATGAGGGGTAGTGAACATGTACAATTATTGTACATGAAGAAAAATTATTGGACTAGGCATAACTACAGGTATTAAAACCCTTTCTTCTCTTTAATGTACAAAGATGTATTCTTAGTCAAACTATCCAAGATACGTTCATTCCAAAATTGAGATCGTGGATACATGTTGTATCACATTCATTGTATGGTTGTCATGGGTTTCTGGTCTTTGGATCATTTTTTGTTTATTTCTTAGTTCATTTCTTAGTTCATGCAGCGTTTATTAAATGTATCACACATCATATTCTTTTTCTTCTTTCCTTGTCATGGGAAATCATTTTTTTTCTTCAAAAGTATTACTTGTATTTGTAGGATTTTTCATGGTCAATATCATTTTTTCAGGTGACAAAATGTTATAAATACTGTGTATTTGGTGGTTGGTACAGGTATCTGCTGTAAAAAATATGAATAAATATTATGAAACTTGTAAATTGGATTACTCTTTTAAAATATTTATCGTGAATTTTTAATGAAAATTAGTCCTTCTCCGTGGATCGATTAAATTCACAATATGTCCTAACTCAGACATTTTCATTTGGGAAGACATAAAATACAGGAACCCCAAAAAAGGAAAAAAGAAAAAGAAGAAGGAGAAGAAGAAGAAAAAGAAGAGAAAAAGAGAGAGAGAGAGAGAGAGAGAGAGGAGCGAGAAAGAGGTTGTAAGTATGTTTCATTTTAAATTATCATGCTAATTGCATTTTATATTGCACGAGACCCTCGTCCAAAAATATTTTTCTGTTTGTTCACGGAAATTATATTATTAATAACAATATAATAATAATAATAGGAAGAGTAATACATAGAAATTGGAATGGGCTGCATTCATTTGGGCATAAGGGATGTTGGATCGATTGCTTGAAATCCAAATGGGGACTGTAAGCAGTGCCTTGACTGCAACTTCCGATCATAAAACATGAATTCTAAAACAATGGCTAAGGTGAAATTTCGCGTCTGGCGCCATCTATGGCAATGCATCAACTATATTCTTTGTCGTATACACAAAATCCTCACTGGGGTTTTGAAGGTACATATTTAAGACTATCGTGACAAGAAGCCCATTCAGGTGGGGTACCCACTACCCAGGGGCAGGCGCGGGGATTTCTTAGGGAGGGGGCCCAACTTTTTTTTTTTTGCCCGAAAATTTCGCGCCGGCCAAAAATTCGCTCATGGAGGGGGGGGGGGGGGTAGTGAGCACTTTTTTTTTCAATTTGCACTTGCGCCAAAAAGGTAAAAATCACGTGATTTTACGAGGGGCGCGGGTGCCCCATCTGGTTAAAATCTACTCTATTGTATACGAGCTTGTTGCTCCCGGTTCAAATTTAGAGACATAGGGGGAAGGACGAGAGAGGTGGAAATATGGAGAGAGAGTTAGATGGGGAGACATAGAAAAAAAGAGAAGAAGAAAGACCGAGAGAGAGAGAGAGAGAGAGAACGAAAGAGAGAGGGGGAATGTAAGGGAAACAGTAAAGGGAACGCCAACAAAAATGAAGAAATAATGTAATACGAATCCCCTCCACACCCAGGCGCGTACGCAGTCGTTAAACCCCCCCCTTTGGTATTTTTATGTGTGTAAACCCCCCTAAAAACCCTAACCCCCCCCCCCCCCCTTTCGATTTTTTTTTTTTTTTTTTTTTTTTAATTATAAAAAAAAAAAAAAAAAAAAAAAAATTACCCCATGGCTGACCTAGAAAGGTGACCTTACCCCCCCTAACGGAGCAAAATGTCAAATTTTCAAATTTCGAGACAAAAAAAAAAAAAAAAAAGTGTCCTCCCCCCCCCCCCCCCCCCTTGAAAAAATCCTGCGTACGCCACTGTCCACACCGTCCACACCCTACCCCTATTAAATCAAATGCTTTGCAATAAATTCATCGATAACAGTACCCAAATGTAACCAATGCACTCCCCCTATAGTGTGTGAATAAGTAGCACAACTACAGTAAACATAGTTGCAATAATGACACGTTTATATATAAGATTATGAAAAGAAACTGCTAGTCACATATATCCACTTATCTGTACAGACAGACTTAAAGGTCGGGTGAAATCCAAAATAATATAAGCTGATTCCTGTTGATGTGCAGGGCTGCATACACCTCGTATTTTTTTGTTCAAACATCTCAATATATTTTCCTCAGATCTGCTAAGCACCACCCTAAAAATGCTCCAGATCTCATTCCCTAAATGATATCATCTATCAATCATTATTGAGCTAACAAGAGACAGTGGTATGTAATTTTTCCAAGCTCAGCACATGCTCATGCAAGAATTGCATGCTTTCATACAAAACTCCGCGTACGTTATTCTTTTCCTGAGGATGCTACAACACTTCTGACCAAGGAGTTTTAAGAGCTGAAGTGGCAACAAATTTTTGCCTAACGCGTAATTTAGATAATCATGTTATAAAACATCACTTTATAAAACAAATAAAACATAATCTTATAAAACAAACAATACATATCATTTTGTTCGGGTATAAAAACAGTCCAAACACCCTAGGCTATCGCCTCGGGCGTGTTAGACTGTTCCAAAGGTACCACGTGTGGGTAATTCTTACTAATGCCCTCACTGATGTGTATTATTTGAATAATATGTCAGATTAGTACCCACACATGCCCCGTCGAGTAATTTTGATTAATATTTCAGGAAATTTTGCTCCATTTCCTTTCGCTTGCCTCCTGTAAAGGTAAGCACTACGTAGCTCGTATAAGGGACTTTTAGATTTGCGAGGACTGATATGTGTGACTTTCATTCAAGGCAGTGCATTAAAAGGACGTCGATTGTAGCAATCCCCATTGTCTTCGTGCGAATCTAAAAGTCCCTATTATCAGACGAGTGGTAGCGAAAAGTAATTATCATTACAAAAGCATTTTTCCCTTTGAAAGTGGCCCGTTAGTTTTTCTATGAACATGACGGACAAAGAAAGAGGACAAAATATACAGTTCCTCATTCTACCCTAAAAAATTGCTGTGGTAGACAAAGGAACATCCTTTACTGCTATTATGTAAAAATGTGTAAAACAGGTGAATATGCATGTGAAGCATGTTCTACACATTGCTACATAATAGCAGTGAAGGGATGTACCTTTGTCTATCACAGCAATTGTTGAGGGTAGAATGAGGAACTGTATAGTTTGTCCTCTTTCTTTGTCCGTCATATTCATAGTGTTTGCAGCTAGGCATCAACCTTTTGTCTACGTATCTGCAAGGAATATCTAGTTAGGCACATGCCTGACATATTTTCTCCTGGCGGCTTCGAAGATGGTACAAGCGGAATGAGCTAGATATGACTTCATCTCTTAAAACTCCTTTGTCTTACATAGCAACTCCTATGTTGGTATCGTATGGTCTATTGTAAACAGGTGGTCAGCTCTGATGGGGAATCTTGTAAATAATATTAATGGGCAAGAATGTAATGTATATCTCAGAATAAGTAAAGTTATTTCTTGGGGTGAGGTTTCCTTTAAGAAATTTGTATTGAGAAGAAGATGAAGAAGAAAAATGGTAATGAGTAATGCGCCGGAAGAAGAGACAGGGACAAGAAAGAGAGAGAGAAAGAAAGAGAGAGCGAGAGAAAGACAAAGAGAGAGTGTGTGTGTGTGAGAGAGAGAGAGAGAGAGAGAAGGAAAGAGAGGGAGAGAGGGGGGGGGGGAGAGATTGGTATATGGGTCGTGTTGATAATTTATAATCACTTTATTTGGAATTCGATCACCGTTCATTGACTGTACTTTTAATTGGGTCTCCTGGGGAGCTAATGAAATAAACACTCTAACGAATGGCATAAGTCACTTCACCCGTTTTGTGTGAACCATTTAGATGTGACATGGTGATTTGTTAATTGAAGGAGAAAATAAAAAATCGTCGACGACGCGCACTCGACTACAGAACTGTAGAAGGCTTCGTGTCATAATGTTCATTTTTCACGTATCATCGTAAGAAAGATCGCACGAACTATATTATAATGAAGCTGGACAACCCAGCAATTGTCCAATAGGTGATGAGATGACTGGATGGTCGTCATGACAACAAAATTAGTATACGTCATACACGTCCAATGAGAAACTATGTTTCTTCTCCCCACGAAACGCCTGCTCATACTTATTATGTTGGCGTTCAACGAAAGCAGATTGCAATCTGAAACTCAACGCTTTCTTGGGGGGACGCAATAACTCTCTAAACAGCTCCTGCATTTCACGAAGGTCTTTTTGAAGAGTTCCGAACATTTTTATCTTGAAAAGAATATTGTTTTTGCGGAGACTGACAACGTATGCCGGCATATTTTTTGGTGTTAATTCATGATCATCGTTCTTGTTTTCCAAACTTCGTAGACGCAGAAGCGGAAAAGAATACCCAAATCGTGAGGTTCTTGCAAACAACATTGACTTGGAATGTAAACAGTTAAAGTGAAGAATATCCGACCTTACGTTCTCAGTAAAACGCAGTTAACAATGGAGACAGCTAGATGAGACAAATCAGATTTAAATTATTTATCTAGACGCTTTCTTACAACTTACTATCTTTACCTTTGTAATTTACGTGATAGTTCAACATCTACTGTAGATCGGGTTGAACAAAAATCCAGATCAGTCAGGCATGTATAAAGACCGGTGTCATGGCAAATTATTGTCAGGACTTTGGTACGGTCGGAGGACTGGCGATCCTTTTCTTGCCGTCGACCATGGCCACCTGTTCCGATTATATAACCCTATTGCCGAGCAATAACACATCCCTGACCATAGATTCCAAATTAAGTCTACAGTCGGCGATCATCATTCTCATATGCTTTGGAACTTTCGTCATCGTTCTCTCTTATCTCTTCAACGTCATTAGAAAATTCGTCTACCAAGACAAAGTGAGTATAATGTCATTGTTTTTTTTAAATTTTATGACAGGCTTTGCTATTGCATTTCTAAATTAGTGATCTTTCTTGAATATCTTAAAGCTACTTAGTCAATATGGCCTTCTGGCTCTTTAAATGAAGACTCAGTCTTCTGCAAAACATAAAAAGGCTACGAGCAGTGAATCCAAAACGATAAATTGAGAAAAATAACAATGGGGAAACCGCTCGATAGAACTGTTTGTCCCGTCTGTTGTCCCTGAATGAAAACTGTCTCAAAGACTAGAACAATTTATATTCCCATCCAAAAGCGTTCTTTTATTCCTTGACGGCAAATTAAACAAGAAGCGATGTAGTAAGATCCCCCCTTTATATTATTTTGTTTGAAAGGCCTTTTTATCCAAATGTTCCACATGTTGTCAGTGGCGTTGCGTGGGCTCAGCCAGAGGGGAGAGGGTGAGGGGGGGGGGGGGGGCTCTAGCAAATCGAATCAAAACCAAATCATTAGTCTACTGGATCAGCTTTTTCCAACTTTTTGTTTTGTCACGGCACCCTTGTAAGACTTAAAAATAATGAAATGCGTCACACCAATCCAAAATTCATCAAAGGGGCTTTTTTTCTCCATCCCACGTACATAAAGGCATTTTCGCGTGAGATCCACTTGCCCAAAAATATACGATACGAGTGAGCGAATAAATTGCACTTATATTATGGCAAATTTGTTATTTAGTCATCAGTATACACTAGATCATATTTTCAAAATTACATATTTTCATCCTGATTTTTGCGGAAAGTGAAGCGAACGAGACGGGTGAAGATACTTTGTTGTGATAAAAATTTGTTTCGATATAATAAAAGAAGGTTATATTCCGGCGCCACGCTGCCCGAATCATGACGATATTCGGGCAGCAAGATGCCTAAATATCGTCATACCATCTTTATATTACGGGGATATCCATGGACCTCACTGCCTGAAACTATACCTTTCATACATTTTGCAAGAAACCGAAGCGAGCGAGGAAAAATACATTTGACTATCTCTAAAATGTTATTTCCTTATCAAAAATGCCCAAACTCATATACATTTTGGCATTTTGCGATCTACATGTATAATTTTGTTTTCTTTTATACGATTTTTTGTTGTTTGTAGTGTATGTGACTTTCAGCAAGACTGAGTCATTTGAAGAAAACACATTTTGATGATGCCAAATCCGGTAGTTTGCACCAGCTTTATGCAATACATAATCAACTTCCCCCAATTACTCTCACAATAAAATCCTCTGACCAAAGCTCAACTTTATCTCTGGATAACTCGGCAAGCATTAATTTTGTATGAACAACACAAAATAGTCTTTATTCAAAAGGCTGTTCCGCAGCTGGACATTGCTTCTTCCAATCAAACAAGACGAAAAATATTCACCTCTCCCTTTGTCCATTTTGATCAAAATAACCATCTTGATTAAAAACTATGGCCGTCATGAGTTTGGCGCTACTGGTACTTCAAAACTGCTATCGTGTCAACAGAGGATCCCTTAGGTGAAGGCCACTTTGTTTCATAAGCTATTTCTGTTCCTTACAAATGCCTATACACTTACTGGTGAGCTCACCACCTATCTGAGAAACCTCTCCAGCCAATAATGAGGGTGACTTCGTTTCATTGTAAAGATTTAGCTCTGCTCCCAGCATGATACCAATATACATATTGATGATCTTATTACACATTCAATGTCATATTCGGAAATCGGGCCGACACACACTATAATGCCAATAACGAGAAACTGATGAATGGCACGGGAAACCGGTCAAAAATTCTGAACGTTTTTAACTCGTCAGTTTGGTTATTGCAACACGTAGCTAATTATGCTGTCAAAAATGCAGGGGAGTAAGACCCGTCAGCTCTCTCTCTCTCTCTGTCATCAAAATGAGTCGAGGGGAAAATCTATCATGGCATAGGTTTCGTGCCTGGTAAAAGAGAACATGACTGTGTATGGAACAATGCGATCGTGTAAGGGAGGGAGAGGTTTCACATTTGGCTCGATTGTGAAGCAATGAAGATGGAAATTAAAATGATGTTTTCTCATTAGTGAGTGATTGGAGTGCCAGCCGCATGCGATGAATGCTTTAAAATGGTGAAAAGTCTTTGAAAAGCGGTTTTTATGTGATCATAAAAATTATGCTGGGTGAAATGATAACGTTTTAAAGCCATGAATTAGTATCGCACATCGCAAATCTATATAGCACAAACGGCGATGCCAGAAACAGCAATCGATTTATATAAGCTGTAAACTGATTCAATTTAATTAGAATTCAATTATCTAAAGATTGTGGGGTCCCCAAAGGTTCAATCCTTGGGTAATTATTAATTTTGTTTTGCATTTAAATGGTATTTGTTACTCATCAGTTGCATTATAATAATACTCGCTGTTATTTTATCGAAATCAACATAAACAAAGAAATACACACAAAAAAAATCAATGTATTTTCAGAACAGGAGAGGTAATAACATGGCAACCAAGCATTAAACTAACGGGTGAAGTTTCGGTTACAAAGGAAAGCACCATATTTCATGGTGTTTTAACAAATGAAAATCTGAAATTGAATACCCATAAGCAAGATAATCTCTAACAACATTTCACGAAATATTACAAAAAATGAAATGATCATGTCCAATTGAATATATTCATGATTTCTTATTTATTACAAATACGCGTGTTTCATATTGAAATATCGTATGTGAAAATTCGAAGAGTAATGTCAATACTCACACGTGATGCACCCGCAAGCCTACTGTATAATGTCAATACTGTTTTACTGTTGAAAAAGAAAACCGTACCTCATGTGTACTAATGATCGATTCTTCCTAATATCACACTATTGCTAACTGAAAATGTTTCCCAAATGATAGACAGCTAGGCTATAATCCGCCAAAACGCATTTAGCTAAATAAACATGTCGAGCTAATTCGCCAACGAAACGTAGTTCGTGAAATACCATGCTGTTAAAAAAATAAAAAAAACTGCTTTCGAAAAAAAATCAACGAATGAGCAGTTTTAATACACTTATTTCCCATTTGCAAATTGCAATGGGCGACGCACAAGGCTATTGAAATTACCTTAGGTCGATGAAAGCAGTTGCGATCGTGTTAAACGTACAACAAACAGAATATAAACAGAAATGCATTTAAGTGTTAGTACTACTTTAAGAATCATCAAGCGGCAATTAACCTACATAAACACACACATACTCACACACACACACACACGCACACACACACGCACACACACGCGCACGCGTACTCACACAATACACGCATATAATGCTTCGGAATACTATTAGAAAAAAAGTCGAAAGAAAAGAACGATTTCGTGAGAGTAATTTATTGAATTATTTCGAATTTTCGTCCAAAGGGCTTCACCGGGAAATTACTATCATCATTCAAAATGCACCCGACAAAGGCGCTGGAGGATTCTTTTTTTTTTTAACAAAGCAATTAGAGTGCAGTGCAATGCATAGCAAGAGAAGAAGAAAGGGTTAATTGGGGTATGGAAGAAAACAAATGGAAATGATTACAAGAGAATGGTGGAGGTGAAAGAGAGAGAGAGCGAATAAGGTAGAAAAGCATTAGGAAAAAAATATCATTTCATATATCATAAATATTTTAGCTAGGAACGCGGCTTGTCATTGATCAATACCGCCCCTCCAGGTAAGTAATAATTTAACTGCTAAGAGTTTGGAGAGGCTTTCTGATGGTTATTGTAGCTGATGTGGCCAAATAAACACTCAACCTGCCTGCGTGGTATACTAGATTAAGGCATTTGACGTATAGACTCAAAGGCGGATTCAATTCCCGGCGGAGACAGTTTTTCAACCGTTGCCGTTGTTTCCACAAATGATGAACAATATTACAAATTAAAAAAACGACCTAAATTATTTTTTCCTTTGATTTCTCATATTATATACATAGTTAAATAAGTGGATTTAGAAATGAAATCAGGGAACACTGTATTCTTTGATTTATTATAAGATTATGATAAAGTTAAGGACAATGGTAATAACATTTAAAATAATGTGTTATATATTATTCCCTTTATCTAGTTTTGTTTATCATTACTGATGACGTCAGCGGTCTACGGTATAAGTTTGATGTTACCAAGAAGAAATCAGAAAGGGAACAAAATCGAACGAGGTTTACTATTATTTTAGAGAAGGCCCAGAAAGGCATTATTTGTGCCATTATAATGACACTATTAGTGCTTGTCCTCGAAACCTTGTTAGCAATATAATATTTCACGTCAATAGTCCACGTTGGATAACATTTCACCTTAATAACATAAGAAGCGAAAAAATATAAGACTTCGGACGAGTATGCATGAGCTACATCGTATTCCAGGTACCCATGACAGCTGAGGTAAAATGAGGGTCAAACTTGTAGCTGCGTCCTGTTAGTCCTTTACTAATCGCATTAGCATTGATTATATATAGAGTGAATCCTTCATGACAAGTTTTTCCTGGCGACCTCTGCGGATATATAAACATGTATTTCCCCCTTCTCTTTCTTTTCTTTGCATATTTAATAAGTAAGTAGGTCTATCACGTTTTGGAAGATTAAATAAAAGGGCAGACTATAATAAATAGTTAGGCCTATAGGTCTACTGGTATAATTTTCTTCAATTCGACTCACGTCGTACGCCCAAATGTTGAAGTTTTACAGTTTCTAGCTATTCTACCTGCAAAAAAGTTAAATGAACGAGCAAATATTCATATATATATTTTTAATTGATATTGCTATTTCTCATACATGATATTTAAGATGAGACATTAAAAAAATATGCAAAGGAACCACTTCCCTGCCCGATTTTAAAGACTGGATAAGCTTGAGTTCTGGTAATGATAGAAAAAAAATCTCATACAAGATCTGCAAGGTGAGACATACAACAAACTGCAAAGAAATCCCTTCCCTGCCCGGATTTAAAGATAAGCTTGAGTTATTCATGGTAATGATAGAAAATAAATTC